AAATTCCAGCATGTAACTAACTCAATTAACACAGGCAAAAAGGAGAAGACTTGAGCTGAAGGCAAAAGCTCAAACACAAGCGACAATGTCAACTGAATCAGATAAAAAACAAAAAAAAAAAAAAACTTTATAGGTAAAAATATATAAGTTTAGAGTATGAATAATAATTGTGAATTTGTAGGTAATTAATATTGATGGTTAAAGGAGTCTAAACATTATTATTAACATTAAGCTGATGTTAGAGTATTGTGCGCCCTTGCATTACCTACTTATTTAAGCGAACACTTTAAGCGTGATCAGAAATGCGCACTTTCTCATTATTTCTCCTGGCCTTCCATATCATTACAATCGAGCATTTTCTAACATCAGAAGTTTGAAATACAGGCGCAAAAAACATGGCTATAAATTCTTTTACTCAGACGTATCTAATACTGCGCATAAACTCCATCATCTGCTACCACCCAAGGGTATTCAGAGGTACAATTTGAGCCCGGCTAGCACACATTTATGTTGCCAAAAATTCGCACTAGTCGTTTCACGAACATATTTGTTCCATCCATGTCCATTTAGTAGAACTTTTATGCGTTATAATCATTTTATATTACATGAAGTTATTATTTTATGAATGTACATATGACTTAAACTTTTTTTAAATTTCATGTAATTCAGCCTTAGGAGGCCGCGAATCTGAATATTTCAATAAACTTTCTCCCACATCTCTCTCTCTCTCTCTCTCTCTCTCTGCCTTTCCCTCCCCCTTGAGTTCTGAACTGACCAATGCGTGGTCCTCCGCGGTAGTTTCCTCATACTGTCTTCTTTTCGCGTGAATTACATTCCGACTGATGTTATTTTTTTCTGAATTTTCTGAACGTTCTAATACATTTCCCCTTGAAATTTTCAGAGATCTGTCTAAAAATATGGTTGAGAATCTGCCACAAGACGTCTTTAGCAACCAAACAAATCTCGAAAAGCTGTAAGTCAACAATAAAAACATTACAAAACAAAAACAGCCACGACAAGGAAAGCGGTTCTCATCCTAAGCATGTTCGAGTTGCGAAAATTTCTCAATTTCTGTCTTAACCCTTTCACTCCCAAGATCTCATCAGTAATTCTCCTTACTATCTGCCGTACAATTTTTATGATGTTAGTTTGGAGAATTTGGTATTGGATCAACTAAAAGTCCCCCGATCGCTATTTTTCTTTATTCTCTTGTCTGCTTGATTATGCTTTGACACTGTGAGGAGAATTTACCTCTTAGTCACTCATGGGAGTTAAAGGGTTGAATTCACAACGCAAGAAATAGACGTTTTGATCTTAAACTTGAGTTTTAATTACACTAATGTTATCAAATTATGTCTCTCCACTTGATCTAATTAAACATGTTCACCAAACGTATCCCACTGAATGAATGCCAATGATATATCTTTCTATCGTTTGCATTGTAAAAAATACCGTCCATCTTACCAGTTGCAATCGTAAGCTACGGGAACCATTTTGTTTTGCCGTTAAACGCAAATGACAGATGTTTTCCACATACTGAAACCTATCATTCGTCAATATCTGGCTTACTGTTTCGTACTTGCAGGTTTTTATCCAAAAACCAAATTGAAGAATTACCATCAACGATATTTGTTAACCTGACCAAGCTTAAGGCATTGTGAGTAGAGATGGAAATCTTGAAATATTAATTAGCTGACAGTCGATTGATTGATTTATCGATTTGGGAAATAAAACAGTAAGAGAACATTATAAAAGATCCTGAATGTCAAATTACGGAAAAGAATTGTGACCATGTTTAAATTGCTTTCGAACTGGACGATTTTAGAGCTATGTGAGGTCTAGGATGGATCAATTTACTTCAATTTACTAACAAAATTAATCGAGGATTGCTCTCGTTTTGCTTTTATCACCCTTATCATTAATCTAAAAGCATCCGCCGCCTTTTCAACCAATTGGATTCAAAGCTAAAACCAAGTGCTGTCATCAATTTTTTTTCCTTTTAATTGGTTGTTGAGGTTACTTTGGCTTGGGGTGGAGAAATCGTAATCAAAAGGCACGCTAGATACGTTGGCACCGATTCAAATTTCAAATTAAGAAGAAGGTTGGTCACTAACAGGTTTCTGTTTCACAATTTAACAGAAAAATGGAGAAAAATAATTTAATAAAGCTCCATCCAAAACAATTTCGCGGACTGGCACAGCTGTCTGAGCTGTAAGTGTTTTATGTATGATTCGAGTTTTCTATGGGTCTGGTTTCTGCATGTAGGCTGACTTTGACTGATTGACAGACTTTTTCCTCATCGCAATTTCCTGCAGAAAACGCTGAACCGATCACGTTTTCCATATTTAAGTTAAGGCCCTGTGTCACAACTTCCCAATGTTTTTCATAATATAAATGCATGCGGAGGGTCTGTGGAGATTCTGGAAAACCTTAAGCCGGGTTAGATATAAGTAGACAAATTTTCAGTAACAACTTGTTCATGAAGTTTACTTTCGAAAAGTCAAAAAAGAAAAAAAATGTGATTAGAAAAATGTTTGTAAATTTTCTTGCTACTTATGAAAAATGTCATCGATGTCCCGTTCTTTAATTCCTGAAGTTCGCCATACATTTTATTTTCTTCCTTTCCTCATTAGCTATCTGTCGGGAAACAAACTCAGAAATTTGCCAGAAGGAATTTTCAAATGCCTAAACTTGAGATTCTGTGTAGAATTGAAATTCTATTTGGCTTAATTTGTCTGGTATCTCTGTATAATAATCGTACTTATCAGTTTGAGAGACATCAATCAAAAATTATATCGCTGATTTATTCGACTTTGCCTAAGAGAATTGACAAAATTTTTTCCATCAACAACTTCCGAAATGCAGTTAAAAACGCTGTACCCGATCAATTTTTATCAATGATTTGAGAATCAAATTTGAAAGACACTGACTGCCATGTGTAAGAAAATAATAACTGTGGCCAACCTGGAAAATGAATTTTTCTTGGAAGTTACTATCAAAATAAATGCACGGATTGGGTCTGTGGAGATTACTATGAGAACCTATAGGCATGGGTTATTTTTTAAATAAAGTAGATGAACCTCTGCCGTATTTCAGTAACAACTTGTTATTAAAGTTCGTGCGATGACTTGCTCCTCTTTAAAATCCAAAAACTGAAAAAAATTGAAATGTGATTACGTTTGAAAATGAGAGATCCAGATGTTCTATTTTTTCGTTTTGTCACGTGCGTGGGACATCTGGGAAACACAATGAAACCAAAAAAATTGTGAGTCAGATGAGGAATCGACCTCGCAATTTCTTGTAGATTTCTCTTTTGTTCGATCAGATGCTCTATTTACACGGATGCGATAGAGACTCCACTGGAAGAGCATTCCTTGAAATAGATAGTCGTCTATTACGAAGTTCATCAGTGATCAAAACAACACCGGTGTTTGTAGATTGTCTCCCCACTCATGAAAACGTTATTCGATGTCCCGTTCTTTAATGTCCGAAGTTCGCCATACATTTCGATTTTGCTTTCTTTCTTCATTAGCTATCTATCGGGAAACAAATCGATATTTACCACAAGGAATTTTAATAAATATTAAAACAACTAACAATAACAGAAACTGTAACAGTAACAAATTGTTGAAAGTTCAGTTACTTCCAAAAGAATTCTTCATTTTATATACCGTAGCTGTAACAAGTATACATGTACGGTACGTTGAATGTTCGTGAGTTTATCTCAGTATTCGATTCTGAAGTGTAATCGTCAGTTATCAAGTTTGAGATCCACACATCTGTGATGTCACAAGGATCCTTGTCGCGTGAATTATATCACAGCCGTTTTGATAATTGATTTTCAGTTGTTCGTCGTCTGATTTTTTAGTAATGAGATAACATTGTTTTGTCCAAAACAAGGACTATCTCTCTCCGGGCTGGAGCAATGTTTCGCTAGTCGACAACTTCAAGCCATCCATTCATCATATTTCTCCGTGACATTTGCTTTAAAAGGCTTATTCACGTGGGCGTTGAATTTTTTTAACAAACGATTAAAGGATATCTTTGACGTGCGTAGTTCTTGTTTGACTGTGATCACGTGGCACTTGAACCATCAAAGATTCAGTTGAATGAAAACTTAATCAAAGGGCAGTTCTTCGTTCAACCCATTAGAAAATGACATTACATTTAGAAATTCTTCATTGAGTAATTTGGTTCTCTTATCAGATAAAACTAAGCTTTCGTGTTAAGCAAAAAACCTTTGTCTTCTCGTGAAAGCTATGGTGTTGTGACCGATGGAATCAACAGTTGTATTGGAAAGCATGTCTTGCCAAACGGCTGTTTCGTCCATTGCTATAATGTCACTGTCAATGTAGGAGAACTTTACACGTAGCCGTCTTGCATGTAACACACATGCGATCAGTTTGTCAATTAGTTTTTCGAGATCCTTTTGGGATTCCGTTGTCTTGCGCCGTATGCATAACTCATGTCTGGTCATGAACTTCTGCACCCACCCTGCTTGCCGTGAATGTTCAGTTCCATGTTGTTGTATTTTCCTTGTAGAGAATCTTTGCCGCTTTTGATCATTTTCCTTGATACGCGAAAACCATTAGAGCGTTCCGTGGACCCATTTTCTTCAATATTGAAATACGGTGACAACTTTTTTCCCGCCCCGGCGAATCTTCAACTAGCAGATTGAAATTTACTCTGGTTTTGCCACTCTTTTATTTCTTCCTCCAAATCTTCGCTGCTTGATAGTTAACCTGCATTCCAAAACCGTATGGCCTCTAGTTTAAAAATAAGAATTGAAAATGCATGAGCTGAGAAAAGCCTCCATCGCACAAAGTGATCACTGTACCAGCTGGATACGTGTAAGAATGGTTTTAGGATTGCCAGTGAACGTGACTATGAAGCTGTTAATGATTCACCGAATGTAAGAACAATGCAAATGACGTAAATTATGAGGAAGAAGCGGGAAAGCAGCTACGCGCCGAAATTACCAGTGCTAAATATCTACGATTATGGCGTGTTCTGACTATCACTTGATTTGGAATTCGATGTTTGTTTATGAAGTGGAATTTTCGTCTGTTATACGAGGTCATCATGTTTACAAAGCGGCGTGGTCTCCAGTCATAGGAGAGTCTCTGGCATGCAGGAATGATGACCGTAAAGAAGCTAAAGAACACGATGAATACGCAGTTGGGACTTACCTTGAAGCTGATAACAAACTTGTGGGATTGCAGAATTCCCACGTGCGTAAAGTGCTTGTGACGCCTGAGAAACACACCCGTGTTATCAAGAAAAAACCCATGTGAAGCAGAACAACCAGCATTACTCGCAAAATTTCTTGTAGTTTTGAATTTCTCACATGGACATTTGTTCTTCAGTACACGCATATGCTTGTATTTATTTACACGGATGGAAATTAACTAGAAAAACATTCCTTGAAATAGATAATCGTCGTGTGTTTTGAGCGACAAAAACAATTCGAATCGCTTATTCAGAAGTGATCAAAACAACACCGTATTGCCAGTTTCCATATATTGGTCATGTGCTTTCGGCAACCAATCATAAAAATGGTTATTTCATTGCAATCTCATCACAACAGTCACTTTTGCTTGAATTTGGAAAACATCAAAACGAAACGACCATAATCTCTCGAAAAGTTAACCTCGCACAAATTGGAAACTCCTGCTTCTTATATTATTGATTACTATCAGACTGGTTTTTTTTGGTCAAATTCTAAGTCAAATTCACGATTCCAGAATATTTCTCAAATTTTAAGTTAACACCTTTAACACCTCTTTTTAAAAAAAGGTGACTATGATTGAAAATAGCTTATGCTTTTTTATCTCCACACCATAGCGAAAAGACCGAAATTGGCTTAGCTGCCGAAACGTCCAAAAAAAACCCTGAAACGAAAGAAATAATGCTATAAATTTTTTTATGTCATGAGTACATGTTTCCGTGGGAATTTCCATGTCAGCAGCTTGCTGCGATTCTCGCTGCTCCTCGTTATGTTTAGCGCATGGACGATTCCAAAACCCTTCGTACTTGATCTTGAAATTGATCTTAGCACTAATCTGAAACATTCGAAGTCCATTTCAATTTAGTAAATGTCGAAACAGCCGTGTCAAGACAATAAACTTCGCAACGATCGATGCAATCACAATGGCGTCAGGACTTCGGACTTCTTCGGAAGGATAGATCTCGAATTCGGAGCCGACTAATTGCGACTAATTACGAAGAGTCCAAGCTAATTTGCATATCCTAAAGTGCCCACAACAACTCGTTTCTACGCTATCGCGTATCCACGAGTTAAAAAAGTACAAATCGATATACTAAGTTTGAAGCAATACTCCAGAAATGCTCTTCTATTCACTGATTTCATCCTTATATTCTTGTCTTTAAATATCTAATTTTCAGATATTTGCATTATAACTACATGAGGGAGATTCCCTACGGATTTTTTAAAGAGTTGAAGGATATATTACGAGTGTAAGATTTTGATGTGACGTATTTGATACATTTACAGTTTATTAGCTGAGCTATATGAATAGAAAGCGTCTGGGGGTTCCTTTAATTCAAATATTTACTAGCCCAGAGCTTTAGGCAAATGAGTTAGTGGTTTCTATACTTTACTAAATATCTATGGTCGGTATTCTTACCCTATCGACGACTTTTATAACAACTCCATTTTGTTGGGTAATACGCCTCACAAAGACTGCTATTGCGCACTACATTGCTTTATAATATTGCAAGAAAAATTTTCGAACATATTCAATGAAGATTCATAGTCACAAAAACCCCCATATGAGGAAATGAATTATGATGGACTGATCTCGCGTTACCTTTGTGCTCTTAGGGTATAGGCTTTTGGTTTTATCTTTCACTTTATCCTTATGAACTGAATAGCATCAAATTTTACGGTTGCAGGAGTTTGGACACAAATCTGATGTGTTGTCATATGCACAAGGAGGACGCTGAATGTGCTTTCATTGATAACGACGACTTTGCCAACTGTGAGAGCATGTTTAAGAATTCTGCCCCGAGAAAGAGTATCTGGGCGATAGGAATCTTTTCTCTGGTTGGTGCAGTGTTTGTTATCACGTGGCGAGTAATCTTTAAAGAAAAGAACGTGGTACAGTCTATCATGTTGCTCCACTTAGCAGTGTCCGATGGTTTGATGGGTATTTACCTGGTCTCTATTGGCACTAAAGATCTGTTGTGGAGAGGAGAGTATTACTTGCATGACTTCCAGTGGAGGTCTGGTTTGTCTTGTCAAATAATTGGAGCGATCTCCCTCTTGTCAAGTGAGGTGTCGGTTATGATGATGACTCTGATATCTGCTGATCGGCTTAAAAATATTGTGTTTCCTTATCAGGGTGCTTCTCTGAAACCAAAGGCAACACATATCCTATGCATCATCATATGGGCAATTGGCTTCCTTATGGCCTTTTTGCCCATGTTTGGTATTCAGTATTTTGAAGACCCTTTCAGGTACCATAGTTATTATGGTAGAAGTGTGGTATGTCTGCCCTTGCAGCTTACTTCTGATAAGCCGGCAGGTTGGGAGTATTCTGTCGCTATCTTTCTCGCTTTGAATTTTGCTTTTTTCTTGTTCATCATGGGTGCTTATCTCATGATACTAGTCAAGTCTTACTTGTCTAGCCGGCGACTGGCCCGTCAGGGTACTGAAAGAGAGATCCAGGCCAGAAGAGCAAACTTTAGGAGGGAAACGGCTCTTGCAAGGCGGGTGTTTTTCATCATCCTGAGTGATTGTGTGTGCTGGATGCCGGTGATAGTGATTGGTATGAGGACCATCATCGAGAAGTCTTACAAAGCGCAAGGAGACTTCGCTGTCTGGATTGCTGTGTTTGTCCTTCCGATCAACTCGGCCTTGAATCCTATCCTGTACACCTTTTCAACAGAACAGGTAGTTATGCGCTTTTAATCCATTATAAGTAATCAAGATAATAAATTAGATCCGTAAGTAGATTAATAATGGCTAGTTACAGGAAGGGTAATGGTTTTCAGCCGACTCGAAGCAGTGTATAATTTTGCTCAAGGCTGCTCTCTTTACCTGCAATTGACATTGAAATGTTTTAAAAGCACTGCACAGGAGAAATTCGTTAGTTTCTATTTTGTCATCGGAGCCCAGTTCAAGGAAGTGAGCGAAATCTCGATTACTTTTGGCTATTGCGTATCCAGGTCAGAGGCATTCTGAAGAACAAAATGGAAAAAGTTTGGAACTACTTGAAGACCGTTTTCACCTGCTGTGGTCGTGATCAGGAAGGTGCGATGTAATTATCACATATTTGAAGAAGTAAAAATACAGCTAACAGCTCCTGATAAGAAATAAACCGAACAACAGTGTAAACTAATAGATTGCTGCAAATATAGTTTTTGACTGATTCATTCAGTCACTCGTTCATAAATCAATTCACTCATGCATGCATGGAGGCATTCATTCAATCATTTATTCACTCGTTCGCTCCTTCGTTCTTTTATTGGTCGCTTCATTTGTTGTACGAACTACTCGATCATTGACTTTTCTTCGTTTTTCTTCTTTAAAACGCCAAGGAGATGGGGAGCAACCGAACCAACAGGGAATAGAAGACAACGAACAACAAGGCGGCGAGGGAGGTAAATCCTAACGCGTATTTCTGGAAACATGGTGAAAACTGTAAATGAGGGAAATAAAGGGCGATCTGTGACTAAAAATATTTCCATATATCGTCTTCATTTTAAGGAGAAGGTGGGGGTGAACAAATGGAACTGGTACATGTTGGTGTGCATCATCCCTTACTGGGAGGGCTGCAGTTTTCTAATCCAATGTAATTCTTGTCTGGAAGAAAAATACCGTGTTGAAGTGTTCATTGCTGATCTGTTTGTTTTGAATTGTTTCCCTAATGATTTTATTGTGTGCTCTGTTACCAGAGGGATCTTTGACTGCTGGATACTTTCATACTCGCAAATAGAGTTTATTATTATCTTTACAGTTAATCATCCAACCTTCTTTCATCTGTTCGTCACGTTAATCTCAAATTCTAGAACCCATTCCTTCTTTCGTTTGTTAGTACTTTCGTTCTCTCTATTATTTGTATGTTTCCTGTTTGTTTTTTTCATAAATCTCTTTTCGTGTTTTTTTTTCTTTACAAAGGCCAAGGAGAGGGAGAGCAAGTGAACCAGCACGGAATGGAAGACAATCAAGAACATGGCGGCGATGGAGGTAAAAATCTTTTAGGTGTCAATTAACATATCATGAAAATTTCAACTAAGCGCACAGGGTTAGTCTGTGTACATTTTTTATCTACTCTCTTTTTTCAAGGAGAAATTGAGGGTGAAGAAATTGAACTGGCAAGTGTTGGTGTGAATCATCCACAACAAGGTAAGGCTAGAGTTTCTAATTCAATGTCAAGTTTTCAATGCTATTCTGTTAGTTTATATTGTACCTCTGGTGATTTTGTAATGTGTCCTCTATAACTGAAGGAACTGTGACTTTAGGATATTTCTTTACACACACATAAAGTTTACTATTATCATTTTAATTACCCAATCTTTCTTGTCCATTACGTTTTAATAGTTTGAAATTGTAAATCTCGTTCTGCGTTCGTTACAAAATTTCTTATTTGTTTTCTGGCTCGTTCACAATTTTTTTTCTTTGCTTTCTTTAAAAAGGCCAAGGAGATGGAGAACAACTGAACCAACAGGGCATGGAAGACATTGAACAACATGGCGGCTTGGGAGGTAAGACATTTTTTCTTTTTAAAGAACACAGTACGGACATCATGAAAACTGAGAATGACAACACAGTGGCAATCTCTGACTATATGTTTTATTTAATATTTTTTTCAAGGGGAAGTCGAGGGTGTAGTTATCGAAGTGGCAAATGTTGATGTGCGTCATTCACAACAGGGTAGGCTAAAGTTTCTCCTCTTATGTCATCTTTATATAAACAACAGTTCCGTACAGAAGTTTTCATTGCTGTTCTGTTAGTTTATATTGCCAAGACTCTACAATATGTTGTATTAATTGTAGTTTTTATCTTTTTCTGTACCTCTGGAGGGATCTGGAACAGCTGGATATTCTCATAGACACAAATCGATAAAGTTAATTTACATCATTATAGTTATCCAACATTCATCGTTTATTACGTTAGTTCTAAATTCTACGAATCTCGTGTTCTAAGACAATTTTGTCAGGTTTAAAAGTTTTGAAAAATTTCTTTGTCTCCAGTCATTGTCATTATCTGAAATACAGAAAAAAAAATAGTCTAACTTGATTCTGAAACAATCACCGATACTAAGATAATGGAAAATAAGGTACAATATTGTTTATTAGTCTAAAACACAAAAGAATGACAGTATTTACCTTTTTGTTTCAAGGAGGACTTGATGAAGCCGAAAGAATCGAACCGGCACCTATTGGGTATGCTGATCCAAATCAAGGTAACTTGTCTTACCTTCTTTATTAAAAATCTATAGCCTATCATTTCCATGAGAAAATTGGTCGCTATTCTTTGTTTGTTTGACAACTTATCCAGTGTTGCTGTATTAGAAATGGACGGACCTTCTAAGGACTGTCAAGCTCTCCTGTGTATCGATCAGTTAAGAATCTCATTACCTCCCTCACGCATTGCTAAGCTCTGAATGAAGTAGCTTTTAATTTCTCAGCTAGCTTTCTTACCACTAAAACTGGTGGTCAACTCAAAGAATATCAATTATCCTCAAAGAAGATTAAGAGATAAAATTCTTTAATGCAAATGAGCGAAATTTGGGTGCAATAAGTTGAGATTTTCCATAATAGGTTGCGGACAAAATGAACGGCAATAAGTATGAAAACATCTAGTTGAGTATAGACTCATGTAATTCTTATTTGGGAGCTTTAACATTCTTAAGCAATTCTTTCAAGAAATTGTCAAGCAAAAGATGAAAATGACAAAACACTGAAGAAATCCCTAAGTTTGACATCCATCAATTATGTGTAATATTACAAGTGTTTGATACCTGGTGAATGCAATATCACGACCACGAAAGCAACGTATTTCGGGTTTTTTATCCGTTTTAATTTGGCTTTGGGTTTGTTTCGCAAAGAGGGCAATGTTCTGGTGCGAATTTCGATGAGTCCTATCATTATTATATCCTCTTCTTTCGCCGACATCTTGCAGAAAAATTTTTTAAAATTTTTTTCGTTCCTATTTTTATTCATTTTTCCTTTATTTGCTGTTTCATCAAATAAAACAGATTTGCTTCGAATTTATTTGGAATACCTCGGTAAAAACAAACAAGCAAACAAACGAACGAACCAACAAAGCAAAACAAAAAGCAGCTAATTCGGTTTATTTCTTCAGCATTACCCTGCGGATTACCCTACAGTTCTCTGTTTATTTCTGTCTTTTTTTTATTTAACACAGAACAAGGAGGGTGAGAACTTGAACTTTCTGAGTCTCTTAAACGACGTAATTTTCTCTCGGGCTCACAGTGACCTCAATCACAAAATTAAAGTTCCGATTACAACAACCGGAAGAAGTCTCTTAATAAACGCAAAGAAATTTCGTATCACGTATTTGAATCAGATGGAAAGTTGAGTTCACAGAAAAATTGTTTTTTTTTCTGCACCACACAATAAGATGCATTATGGTGCACAGAAAAATGATAAAAACTCTATGTTCAAATTAAAGTTAATAAATACTATAAACCATTCTCCTGAATGCTGTACATGAAATAACAGAATCACCCTACAGTCCAGCAAATAGAAGTTCCTCTCCAAGTTGATCCTATTACATAGAAGCTAATTTTCAAGAGAATTACATTTAGAATGTCGTTAACCAGTGCCATCAAGTTAAGCAGTTGCCACAGTGCATTAAGTACCTCATCAAATATGTGATTTTATTTACTTTGTTCTTTTCATGTTAGGAAAACGGAACCAGAGTTTGAAAAAAGGAGACGATAAATTCAGGCATTCCACCGAAAAGAAGTAAGTGGTGAGCAGCGGGATATACACAAGTTCACTTTCCTTGAGAGAGACATCCTGTTCGTATCACAAAGTTGACGGACGTTGTCACCGACAAACTAACCGCTGAATTATTTTAATTACTGGCTTATTTGCCCACCAGGAAGCTCCTTAACCTACTGGCTAAACGGTTCAAAGAGTGACTGTCCCTAGCGGGGACTGACTGACTCACTAACTTCCCTACTCACTGATTAACCAGCCGACTGACTGACTGTTTGACTTACTGACCAAAATGACTGAGCAACTTTTCAACCGACCGACTGACTACTTGACCAACTGACTGAACGAATGCTGGTCAATCACCAGAACAACTGATTGACTGTTTCACTGACTGGCTATGTGTGTGCCCAACTTAGCAGCCAACCGAAAGATTGATTGATAGTCTGTTTTACTGACTGACTGACTGAGTAAATGACAGAACGGGGCTTTTTACACAAATGATTTTTTTGCAAGATAATAGCGATTGAGTAATTCTTTTCTTTTTCCTTGTTTTGCTTTTTGTTTTGTTTTGGTTTGTTTTTTTTTACAGACGAGGGAAAAAATCAAGATTTTCAACGCGTCTAAAGTCACCTTCGGCTACCGAAGCTGTCCTTGAAGAACACACTTTTGAAGAGGAAACAAAACTGTAAGCAGTTAAATTCGAGGAAATTATTACAAATTCTAAGCAATTTAACAAGAAGAAATGGCAATTAGAAATCCACAATCTCGTTTTTTTTATTAAGCGTATAAGATGCTCGAGTTAGAAAAAAACTGTTTTGCTAATTTTGTGATCTTTGGCTGTCTTAAAAACATCCCCAACACGATAAGATATGTCAATTGGCTTAACGAAAGGATTTAATACCAAGAACTGTTATGGGAAGTAATTATGAAATAGAAGTTTCCGGAAATTTTTAGAATACCTGCTAACGGTGACTTGGATATATCAGGTTATGTGATTATGATGTAATTCTACCAGAATAGTAGTGTGGTAGGCTTGCGGAATATTGTAGAATACGCTGAGGAATTCAGTAATCTAGGAGCAATTGTGCATTTCAAGCTATACCGTGAGATAGAACTACTGTGATGCACTTCAAAGATGTGCATTTAAAGGGAATTGGGAAGAAACAGGGAGTTTGAATCGGCGGAGAAGAAGGTACAGTCTGTAGTGGTTTGTAGAAGATAATCACTGTATTGCCTAAAGGAGTCGATTCTTAGTAAACATACGTTTTCACACATTGTTTAACAACGTAGTTCGGTTTGTAGTAGTATAGTATTCTTTCTGTCTATAAGAATATACCGTGACAAGAGATTCAAAAGTGGTTTTCAAGAGTTTTGATTTAATGCTTGCTCATTTTTACTGCTTGGTTATGTGCTTCATTATTAGAACAATACCAGGTTTTTCTTTATATTTTCTGCAGAGTTCAGAAAATGCATGCTTTCTGAATCATTGACTTATCTAACAAGTTGACCCTCATAAAAAAAAAATAGTAACCTATGTGCTTATATGGGACATGAAAACTTTAAAAGGTGAAGTTTTAGCAAATTGATAAATTAGCATATCAAAGAAGGTGCAAGTTATAGTAGCACCATTGAGTTCATAGAGGTTGATTTAAAAAATTATTTGTTAGTAATTACATAATAATACAAATGCTGTATTTAACTGGATTATTACTGTAATCATTATGATAAAAATAAAAATAACGAGAGGGATCAAAAACACCTTGGCTATTTGAAGTTGTGTTTATTTTGTATACTTGGATATTTGCAGCGACCAAATGGTCAGGCTCATCATATTCATAGAAATGTACGGAACATTATACATAAAATAAAAGAGAACAATTGAAATTGGTATTTTTTTATTTTTAATCTTTCTTTTTCTCGGTCGAAGAGATTCATTAAAAAGAAAGAAAAAATAGAACACAACAGGAATGATAAAAAATAATATTATAGCCAAACTTGAATAACTATTAAAATTCATATAAATCACGATGGCGTCAGAGCGACTGCGATTATGCTTAGGCCCTCAATGATTTTTTTTAAGTACGAAGCGACTGATGGTACGTGTTCCTCTCAGATGTGATGTCACCCACCACAAGCAATCTCAGGTTTCCTTCGTATTTAATGGGTATATATGTTTCTTTCCGACTGAAAAAGGGCACTGCCTTACACTCTCTTATAAGCCGGTTCCCCCACTTTCTCTTAAAAAACGAAGTAAATTTTTCAATCAGAAAAAATGTATACTGATGCGGTATTTTTCAAAGCTGGACATTTTCATTGAGTTTTTCATATACGGTGGCCCACTAGTGCCACTGCTGCACACTATAAAACAAACACCTTCCTGAATAAAAACTTACTCCCTTTGTGAAATTGTTCTTATTTTCCATACAAGTGTAAGCCAGGAGCCCATCACTTGGAACCTTCAACTGCCCTATATTTTTGTCACGGCGTTTTCACAGACAAGTCTACTTTTAGTTTGAATTTACTAAGAACTAGGACTCCCCGCGAGAGCACATCGACTTATCAAGATTAGCGCCTAGTTAATTTCTAACTTTACTCGTTAATATATCGAAAGAAAAACAGCAGAGAGGTGCAAGGCTTCTTGCGATAGTTCGAGTGCAGATTCGTATGAACAAAGGCGTCCCAAACTCGCGTCTCGATAAAAAGCAAACGATTAATTCATGAAAGTGTCACATGTTGTGTGACTCGGTGTTAACTTACGGAAGGAACCGTTGAGAATTTGAACGTGTTATAAGGAATAGCATGGGGAACGAAATATGGTCGATTTATAACGATAAATATTTCGAAATATGAACATTTTACACGTTAAATCAATAGAATTTATATACATCTTTTGTGTTCGTTGTGGTTTCCGGCGTTCTCTGCCGTTTCAAGCTTGCTTTGCCGTCACTGTTATTCCTGTTATACAACGGTCGAAGTCGAGGTGCGCGGCCTTGACCTCGTCTCATAACAGGAATAACAGTGAGCTTGGGACGCTTACGGTGTGAATATTTTAAAAATACCTCGGGAAGCAGCAGTTCCGAGGGAATTTCTAGTGAAGATGAATCTGACTCTTGACTGTTCAATGATCAAAGCGAAAATAGGCATCGTAACTTTTGCCGCATGCGACAATTATCGACCGCACTTCACAAAAATAACCAAGATTTGACAAGATCGAAGCCCAATTCGAAAGAGTAGCACTATTTAGCGACCTAAAAAAACTCTCTTCATTTTGTTGCACCGCTTCTGTTCAATCCTGCGTTGCAAAATTTCCTTTACGGACCTTTACGGACTGTATGGATGAAGATTCTTGAGATGAAGACAACTCAAAAATAAAACAACGATCCGCACTTCCGCGAATTTTTTCGCAAGCGTGAAAACTTTGCAAAGGATAGTGAGATATATAAGGAAAGGAAGGATTGGAATACTGGAATATAGCAAAAGAAAGGCGGAATTTGAGTAGTTTTGATATGAAGACGTCCCCGCATAGGGCGGCCATTTTTTTCTTCGCGTTTCATGGATCGTATTACCCAAGCGAGCTCGAGTAGCTTATTTCCCGCGAAAAGACGGTCTAAAAATAAACCGTTCTGTGAAAACGCCGTGACATAGGCCCAGTATGGGAGTTGAACACTCCAAGTAATGGACTCCTGTGTAAGCCTGTTGCATAGAAATTGCCCTCCCCTGTAGAAATGAGCCTTATCCGTAGAAATGAGCCTTCTCCTTGGAAATGAGCCTTCTCCTTAGAAATGGGCCTTCTCCATAGAAATCAGCCTCCTCCTTAGAAATCAGCCTTATTCGTAGAAATCAGCCTTCTCCTTAGAAATCAGCCTCATCCGTAGAAACCAGCCTCCTCCGTAGAAATGAGGAGAAATCAAGGAACTGGCAGCTAGCGCCCAGGACTCTCTGTGATAGCTGCTACCTCTCCCGCCATATTTGATAATGGCAGACTTTTGCAGCTCCTGTGGCGAAAGTCTGGGCCAGTATTCCACCCTAAATTATGGCCCCAAATGTGGTACGAAATTGGAAGCAGGTTAGTGATCGTTTCTTTTTCGGCTTTGTTTGAAATGTTCCTGAATATTTTTTATAAAGCCTGCAGCTGACATATTTTTGGCGCGATTTAAGTTTTTGAATAAAATATAACGTTTTGAAGAAAGAAGAAATAACGTCAAAGCCAATTTATGCCTGGATCTTCGTAAACCTCCTCACTTGCATCATTGTTATAACTGCATTAATAATTAACTCATTACCAGACTTTTTTAGCTTTCTTTGGTGTCCTACTTCAGGTCATGTGATGTTACGCTTGAGAGTTATTTATTTCACATAAAAAAATCCATGTGAAAATGAATTAATAATTTCCAGATAGAGAAAGGAAAAGTTTTCCCAGGGAGCATTACATGATCTGAGATAGAGAATGAAAAGGTTTACTATTGCCTGTTATTTTGAATTTGTTTACAGTCCATCATGCCCAGTTGAAAGTGCTTTAAGGTATATATAAAATCTTCTTTTCAGTGGAATGACCTCTTAATGAGGTAACCTAGTGAGCATAAATCATATGACGACGCCTTAAAACATAAAAGTGCAAAACTAAACAGGGCTTGCCATTATTAAACGGATTAAATAGAAATAAATTAAAAGTTTGTTTTTTATGAATGAAAATGGATATCTCACCATCAATATGCCAAGACTGGTTAGGTCCATGTGAGTGATATATCCTACGGTGTGGTTTGTTTCTCTTCCGTGCTTTACTGGCATCGGTATCCAGTTCATGAAGAATTTGAGGAACAAGCCTCCTTGGTGCATGTACATGGTGTTTGAGTCGAAGTATATGCCACATCTTCCTGTAACCTGCAAGCTGCCCTTGCCCTTGCATTTCACTTCTGATGATGTTCCGATTTAAGTCCTCATCAACACTGATTTTCCTTTCGACAAGATTATAGCTCTGAAGTCTTCTTGTAAGGGTGCAAACACTCATGGAGATACTATGGTAGACTTGTAGTAGATCTGTGATTGTTTCCTAATCATAACACAAATGGAAATACTTTTATATTACCACACTCTCTAACACATTGAATTCTGAAAGAGAAAATTCGTAAATTGAGGCAATAGCAACTACCAAGCTTGTTAGTAGCACAAGTACAACGCTTTCCAAACTATTCTGTGTTTTCCAAAATAGCATTTTCCGTGAAAAATGGACCTTCTAAACATATTTTTCATATCGATTCCGCAAAACATCGTGCTTTTTTTTCAGAAAAAGTGAAATGTTGGCTTGAAAGCAGCACTATTTAGGCAAAAAACACGGAAATTTCGCCTATTTGATAAAAGCAAAATGCTTCAGTTTTCACGGACTAAGAAAATGTGTTGCTTTAAAAGAGCAACATTTTGTATAATTCAACGGAAAAGTTAAACGTAGGTACATTTTACTCATACAAATATTCATTTTTTTACTGCGTTGCTTGTTAAATCTGGTCAAAGTGCACATAATGCCCTGTACGTTTAAGAATGGAACGATAAAGTCTTTAATTTTAACCCTTAATATGTTTAAGCGGTTTTTTTTTCATTTTTATTTGACATGGTATCAAGAACTATAATGCAGAAATTCTGCAAAGCTTGACAGCCCAAGCGTGCAAAAATTCTGCACGCCTCGACGTCCAGTGCTACAGAAATTCTACATGGTATGGCGTCCAATGATGCAGAAATTCTGCAAGGTTTGACGTCCAGTGCTGCAGAAATTCTGCACGCCTTGACGCCAGTGCTGCAGAAATTCTGCACGCCTTGACGTCCAGTGCTGCAGAAATTCTGCACGCCTTGACGTCCAGTGCTGCAGAAATTCTGCACGCCTTGACGTCCAGTGCTGCAGAAATTCTGCACGCCTTGACGTCCAGTGCTGCAGGAATTCTGCACGCCTTGACGTCCAGTGCTGCAGAAATTCTGCACGGTATGACGTCCGCAGCAGCAGAAGTTCTGCAAGCAATGACATCCTGAGTTAAAGAAATTTATGTGTTGCAAGGTCAATGCTATAGAAATTCTGAGTCATTGCTTTTCCACTCTCAAAAAAGACAAATTGTAGAGGGCCCACGCACACCAACAGTTTCGATCAGTTTTCTGTTATGCTTTTTCCATTTTTCAGTGATCATAGTTGAAATAACAATACTGTGCATGCTGATGTTTTTTGAATGATTGGATAAACTTGTGAAAATAACTCCACGGTTGGAAACTAAAGGTTATTAAACAGAACTATTCATAAATCATGCAAGCTTTTAATCAAATGCCAAAAGGTAAGTTGTTGAAAGGAAATTAATTTTCTCTTCCCTGCAAGAAAAAGAAATCGTGTAATTGAATTTTTGTACACATTCAGGATGAGCTCCTAACACATTTAAGATTCTTTTAAAAGTTTGTTTTCAAATTTTTTAAAATTTCGTTTAATCAAAGAAAAGATGGAAGTAATCCTGTCTTGGCATAAGGAGAGCTTATCTGTTGCAGAATAAGATGATCTGTTCATTTTTAAAGAAATTTAAAATTAGATGACCTTGGAATGAGGACACTTAAAGCCGAATTTACATCACCATCACTGAGTGACGATATCGTCATTAATTCATATGAGATAAATGTTTTTCCTCGAAGTTACCCATTCAGTAATTTTCATTTCAACTGACGATACAAGATTTAGATTTTTGACTCCTCTTCCTTCTGTTCACAAGGCGATGCAGTACTGTTGATCCAATAGTGTCCAAGAAAATTAGTCTGTCACTGTTCTCACATAGATGATTAGATGTCATTTTCCTTGAAACAGACCAGTGTACAATTACGGGGGTTTGTAAGGCCTCCTTCTGTATGTATGGATCTGAAAAATTAAAAGAAAGTGAAGTTACATCACATGGACATTTATTCATACCTTAAGTTTCCTCTCAGAAAGTGATTCTCCACAGGGTCCAGCAAAGGAATGTGATGACTTATGCAAAAAGTCCGCACCGATTATTTTTGGAGAAATGGTAAACTCTTGTTCCTGTTCTGTAAAGATACGCAGCTCCTGATCGTATTATTTTGATGCACCATACTTCCAATACTCCCATTCCCCTTATCTTTCGGAGGCATCTGGCGTATGAAGAATTTAACGGACGCAAATGAGATGTGAGTTAGTTCAAAGACCAACTATTTTCAAAGCCGACAGACCCATGAATCACGAACTTGTGTCTTCTCATCATTGCCTCTCTTAAAATAAATTTAGAGCGCAATTAAGAGTGGCGAAGAGAAAGTCGCAAACAACGATATTTCTGTCTGAGGTTTTCACACCTTCAAATCAATTAAGAATGTGACATTTTCCCGTGAGTGCTAATCTAATCAACTTAAAGCTTCCTTGATTCTTTCTCCTGCTCGTTAGCTGTTCGAAATGCCTTGCAATTGTAAGGCCTTGTCCACGCTAAACCTTTTTATGCTCAGAAATTTGAGGTTTTTTCTTTTTTATTTATAACCATACTAAGGAAACAGATCTATTTTTCTTCGTCCCGGCGGGCTATGAGTACACTGGCGGCACATTGGGCATGCACTCAATTATGGTTGATTATAAAACTAAAGAGCCGCGACGCCGGCGGTTTTGGAAGGCACCGATTTCGCTCAGTGAATACCGACCTTCACAGGCTTAGCGCTCACGGTAGGCCTAGTTAAAGATATGAAGTCTCCATTCGTTTGCATTAGATAACTAATCGGCGAGCATAGGGTTATTATTACGATTAGAACTCGTAAGCTGTGCACTGTGCAATTTCACCAACGAGGGACAAAAGTCACTTCAACCTATTGTTTTACAAACCGCCAACATCCGCTTGTAATATCCTAAAAATCGTAGAATTGGGCTTTAGTCAGTTTTGTTTGCTATGCGCTATTGTCAGACTCTGAGTGGAGTTAACCTGTATCCGTCGAACAAAAATATTTCAACCGATGATGGCGAGGACACCGGAAACATATCCCAGTTCTACGAGCCATGATAATTTTTACGATTCGGGAATCACCACCAGAGGAAAGACATCCCAATGAAGATCAGTGGGTTGACTTCGATGACTCATACAATTCTTTGAATGCAGGATCTTTCATTTATCGAGAAATAATTCCGGATTTAGAGAGTGAATTAGAAATTGAAGGTAAAGTTAAAATCACCTGAATTCAAAGTATCACAAGCAAGTCAATTCAGTGTCGATAACTTTTCAAATTTCAAGGTTGACAAGAGGTCAGAAGTATGCAAGTGTGACAGGTGACGCGAACTTCAGTCGTAATGTATCGTGACGATAAATGTAATTTAGTGTTATCAACTGAGTTGACAACGTAAATTGGCCACTGTAAAGAATTTAAAGGCTAACGTTCCGAGCGTTCGCCCTTCGTCAGAGCGATTGGGTAACGATAAATGGTCTGAGTGAAACTTAGTTTGCCAGGTACAAGTTTGCGATCTCATCGATATAAATACAATTTTACCTAAAGCTTATCGAATCGTATGATATGAATTGTATGTTTTCAGTCCTCGATGGAGATGTAGAACCCACAAATATTTGATAAAAGCCCATCTTAAGGAGGTGAGTAGCCGTTAGAAAGGATTAACTTGGAAAGGATGTTTGAGTTTTTAACTTAAAAGTGATTCTGTCATTTTATGGACAGCAGCCAGGAGAATAGCGCAAAGTACATGTCAATGTTAAAACGAACATGGTTCTTCATTATCTGAACACGCTCTAAGTCTTCGCTTAAATAAGCAGCAATGCACGGGGATACAAGGGCGCACAATACTCGAACACCGGCCTAATGCAGGTAAGATGGAAGCACATGATATCATGAGCCGGAATATTTACTCGCTTCAGCAATATCAAGAAATGTGTGAGCTTATTGGCCCTTTTGATTACATCAGAGACGTGACAATTTCATTTAAAGGTATTAGACATGATTACCCCTAATATTTGGTTTGGGTAACAAGTTCAAGTTCCTTGGAGTTGACGGTTACCACGTCAAACAGGTGTTGGTTCTCTTGAAGTCAATAATCAATTCTTTGCACTTCTCTGAGTTCAACTGAAGATGTTGTAAGCAGACCACTGCTCTAACGCTTTTACAGCGCTTTGGATTGCACTTCTACTACCCTTAGAATGATCAAAGCATGCTAGTATATCTATTGCACTAGACTCTAGTGCAATAGATATACTTGTGTGATCAGTGCTGAAGTTGACACTTTGTGAACCAAATTACAAGGAAAAGGAAGTCCACTGACCTACAGACTGAACAAATTCCGAGCCCAGAGGTGCATTTTTCGTACTGTCGCACTGAGATGTCTCAGTTAAAAATTCTTAAGAAACCGGTTCAAACAAAAACAAAACAAAAAAAAACATTATCGAATCTGATAGAGGTAGAGATAACAGGGCATCTTCGTAGGTGGGAGGGAGGGACGGTGCGGTATACCTTTTCTGTCCTGTGTATTTGTCAATATTGAATCGAGTCTTTTATTAGAGCCACGAATGTAATAAAACATAAAAGGTATTAGTATATACCACACAGGTGACAAGTACTTTTTGCGTGCGCTGATTGAAGTGATTAGCAAATAGTACTCACCTCAGGGCAGCCAAAGTGACAAATTTGCGCGTTAGCAATTTAATTTCTAACACTTTTTTTGATATATTGACGGAAATATATTTTTTGTTTTCTGTTTTGTATATACCAAAACAATTAAAAGTTGTGAATATTTACCTCACCGCTATGCGGCCAGGCAAATATCCACCACTATTGACCTCCACTTCAATGAATAACTGTTAAATATCGGTCTAACGCTTGTCAGATTGAAATAGTAAAGTACGTACAATCAATTGGTATTGAGCTTTCCCTTTTAATTTCGATATGGTTATCCCTAAGAAATTTGCAGATACCCGGTTTCACCACTTTTGTCCCCTTTAAGGCACATTCTGTGATCTCCTATCAGACCACTTCCCGGAAAAACCATCCTCCTTGAGGGGAGGGGGCGGGGGTAGAATTTTTCGAGCAGTTACAGCATTTTACATTTTAGAAGATTTTCGATAAAATGTTGTTCTTTTTGTTTGTCAGATTAATGTTTCTTTAATAATGTGTTAGTGACTCACATCATGTCGATTATATTTCTAAAAATTCAAAACTGGCTAAAAGCACAATTGCTGCACAGATGTTAGAGAATGTGTACCCATAGTAACTTGGAATGAATGGACAGGGCTGTCGTGAAAATATTTATTCCAAGATAATGATCTGGAAAAGGCGGCTTTCTGTTTATGAGTTCATTGCTATTTAAAGGCCGCTCGATCTGAATCGAAGAGAGGGAGAAGCGAAAATACATTTCAGGTATTTATTTAATTAAGTTTAAAATGTCCATACAAGAAGAAATAAGATTAAACATCACTATAATATGACACAATAAACCGAGTAAAGGGCGGATCTTTGGATATTAAAGGACAAACGATTATTTTCATTTCCTCAATATTCAAACAAGGCAGTTATAAATTACTAAATATATTCTTTTTATTTCAATGGCTGGTGAATAAATTTATCGTTACTAAGATCTGCCATCAAGTCCTGCGCTTAAGCCTTAGAAAAGGGAGGATAAGTTATTGATTTTTTTGCTTACCTCTTTTTAATTATTATTTAGACTTTCTTCGCTGGAATAATAACAATAACGCGTTTGTTATTGGCGCCTTCACAGAAGCGGAAATACAGGTAAGAATAAACGAACCATCAGCGGAATCATAACAATGGAGAAAATGTAACTGTAAAGGCAGACGGGAAGTAAATTTTAAAAGAATCCCTTTATAACCCCACCTTTCTGGCGTTAGGACATTTCTAAATTGCAGTAAATTGTTCTTTTTATCAAGTGCACTAAAATGTGATTCAGTAAGCCTCAGTTAAGCGCAGCGGTGCCTTGAAAAAATAACATGCTCTTTGTGATATAGCTGCATCTTGTCGTTTTCCAGTGCTTTGTGAGGTTAACAGCCACGGTATCTGTGATCTATAATGAGATTCCACAACATACAAGGCACTTAACCTGCAAATAAAATGCGTTATTTAATCAAATTCTTAAACCAAACATATTATTCAAACTTCTACTGTGTCCAACAGCTAAAAACAAGAAAATGGCGTCCAGAATGACCGTCTGGGGCTTCAGTGTTGCTTTCTGTAAGCACTATTTCCTTTAATAAAAATATAAAATTTAGAGAATAAATTTCTTATTTCCAAAGGATTAGAAATCGCTACTTTTTGGTTTTTGGTCACCGAGAATACCGCTCATGTCACGAAAATATTCAGGCTTGCATAAGATTCACTCGCAAGATGGTGAGTAACATATGCACGGAGAAGAAATGCGGCGTAGAGCCTTTGCTAGAGGGAATTACGAAAGAAAAGTTACCGATCTCTGGCAAATTTTGAGACAACACAGCATCCAAGTTGATTTCCGCGCGCCTCTTTTTCGAGTCCGATCTTCGCTCCTCCCCGAGAAAAGACGACTTAACACGTGAACTACAGACCACGTCTGTGACACAGTTATATAATTATAATTCACGCAAGTGATATTATAATTATTAATGTTATTATATATTAATATTATTATTCAGCGCAAATAATCAAAAAAACAAAGAACTATCGATTCTATTAGCTCAAAGTTCACTGACTAACTTGTACTGAAAAACTATCATCCTTTAAATCGCTAAAAAAAACCAGCCTCATCCATTCCGAAACAAATCCTTTTACTTGTTGTTCGGCATCAAACGCGCGCCCGTGCAATTGTGTCATTTACTTTCGATATGGAAACAATGCGTCTGTCAAAAAGGCGTTTAATTAAAATTTTCATCTGTGAAATGCTAATTGCAAACCAAAACACGGAATGCAGTACCTAAATAACGATATACAAGTGCTTAAGACGAGGCTGAATTTGTTGTGCAGTTGTGTTGTTCCACTTAGCGAGCGAAAGCTTCAGCCATTTAATGTTATCTTTAAATAGCTTTGGTGAAATTGACTTCTCTCAAGATAAGGGCGAGGAGGCTTCCGCTTTATCCTCTCGTTTTCTCTTGATTCTGCAGTTGCACTAATAGCGGAAGTACGCCTTCAGAGAGTTGTTCCATCGTTCCGCTCAAGTAAACTTTTGCAGGCTCCAAAAGGACATTATGTTGAATTAAACTTCAGCTTGGAGACTTCACATGCAACACCATGCATTGATGATATGTATCTTGAGGTTCGTGATGGATACAACAAGTCTGCCAATCTTCTTGGTGTTTTTTGTGGAAGGAACATTTCTGGTATTGTGCGATCCAGTGGACAGAGCTTGTGGTTGGGAAAAACAGATAAATTCAATTACCATTTCAGATGTTCATACAGTAACAAAACAATCAATACAACAGGCAAGTCTTCAGTGACTCACTGAAATTAGTCACCAAAAAGCATATTAGATGTATTGTAAGTTTAAAAGTTCTCATGAAATGGCCATTACCCACGTTCCTTATACTCGACTGCTTTTGTAATTGCTATGTATTTTTTCCTCTTCCAGTCCAACCCAACCTGGATAAAGTGGCCAAAATTCAGTCCGTTCTTTCAAACCATCTCTCATCCCTCTGGTGCCCAGCACAAGGCGCACCGGCACCAGTCATTGCTTGGAGAAAGAACGGCATTGTGGTACAGAACAGTACAAGTGTCAAATATCAGCTGACCATTACTGAAGAAAACAACTACAGCTGCGAGGTGAAGAGGCAGGATGGTTTTGACAAGAAAGAAATCAGCCTTGTTATGGAAAGTGAGTTTTGGTAACAAAATTTGTTCCTCAGTCGATCAGGCCAAGGGGAAACCTATCGCAAATTTGCAAATTTTGAATCCCTAGCTAGTAAAATGCGCAAATCCCAAAGCTTTTACCTTTTTTCTTCGCAACTGAATGGCGGACACTAAAGGTTTAGTGACCTCACAACATTTTTCGTTCCTTATCCTAGAATAGTATTAGGTTTGCACGAGCAAACCAGAGACAACGAAAAGCTCCAATGACTTTCAGCAAACAGCATGATAATGAAAACGTATTCTCTTGTTAAATTCTAGGGTGTCCTGATCCCTGCAGATGTGAAACTGCGGTTGGAATCATGCGTGCAGTTACCTGCATTGAATGTGGGGGAAAACATTTACAGTCAGTTCCACGGCACTTGCCCCTCTCGACAGCGAAATTGTAAGAGTGTTATCTCTTTCTTTCTTTTGTTTTTCGGTTGGTAGGGAGAAGGAGGGAGCATGAGACATACATTAAATTTGGTCTATGAGGTTCAGAGGAAAAAAATGAAACAAAAAGAGGCTTTTAGCAACCTTTGTTACTAGCATACATTTTCAGATTAAAGGCTCTCTTTTAACGTCAACGAATGACTCTCTGTTAACGTTGACAATGACGTTTTGAAGGCAACCTGATTGGATGACAACGATCGTAGTTTTGTCAAAAGTAGCTGGTATTCTGTATATGAGTTGTTGACAACTTAAGCATAGTTAGTGAACTGAACCGAACGGTGATAAGATGTTACCATAAAATATGAAGTAACATGTGAACACAACATGATTCTTGCAGTTTGTAGCATCAATTCGAAGGGTCGAATTGTCGTTTCTTGTTCATAACATTGGACTGTTAAACGGCTCTTCACTCGACTCTGATGAGAGCGAAGAAGGTTGCTTTCATATTTTCTCAAAGTAGGCGAGATTAGAATTTTTCCTGAATTCTTACCTTGTTTTTCATAAATTGAGTCACTCTCGAGTCTTGGAAAATTGTGTTGTGTCTTATTTTACGTGAACGACTTTTATTGCATTCAATGTCCCCGAGGAGTGAAGTTAACACCAAATGTCTGTATATAGTAATATTGTGGCTAAAGTTATACTTTCCCCGGGTATAAAGATAACAGAAAGTAAGAATAAACAAGAAGTATAATGTTCAACCTTGCTTAATCTGAGATATATTCTCCTTCTAGGAACCTGAAATACAACCAAATAAAGGAACTACCATCTGAAGTTTTCCAAAACAACACCGAGTTGGCCGTTCTGTAAGTGACCAATGTTTATGCTTGTGTTAATATTGATGTTCGATGTATTAAGAATTGCCGAATGTCTCATGCTCGGTGGGTGTAGTCAATCACGTAAGTAATCAGTCAATGTGAGACGTTTTATCATTTTGCTCTCTGAGAGCGAAAACTTCTTCAAACTAAGAGGCCGTCGTCATCTATAAGGAAGCATTTAAAAAATTTCACTTAAAATCCATGACTTATCCTTTTGCAGGATCTTAAGGGGAAACCAGATAGAGGGGCTGCAAGTGGGAGTCTTCAGTAACAACAAGAAGTTGACCCACTTGTTAGAAGGCAGTTCATAAAATTATGGTCGATTTTTGTATCTTTACTGTCATTATCTTTATCGTTCTCGTAATTAATTCTAAAATACTCAAATATTGTTGAACGACAACAATGAGTATTGCCGTCGGGGTCTACTACGAAGTTGCGTGATGATTTAGCTTTTGAGTTATTCAAGCTACATTCGGTGTGAGTGAGGAACATTACTTCTAAGTTCACCATCGCGAGAACCAAAACAGATTTTTGTTAGCGACTGCCTAGGAAGACTCCATCAAGCTCAAATCACAACTCTCCAATAGACGGCTACTATTGTTATATATTTCCTCTACTCGCTCCGACTTAGTCCGTTATTGAAATTTGAGCGAACTTTGTTTCAACCTACTGGCTGTGGTTAGCAGGTAGGTGAGGGTAAGATGGTCGAAAAATCCGGTGAAGAACAAGATGGAGAATAAGCTAACTGGAGCTCTGTTTTAAGGCTTTTTGTGCTCCGAAAAGAGAGGCTCGCGCATCAGCGATTGTGATAGGAACGTCATCAAAGGACTTATTGAAATTATTCAAATGTATAGTGATGGTGGTATCAACAACTGAGTCTTACATCTTACATTTTTCGATGCCACACAAAATCTAAATGTGTAAACTACAAAAAAGTAATCAAGAGCAACGCAAAACGTTAAACTCACTAGCCTATATATATTTATTTGACCCAGACACGGTACAAGTAAACTGTATTTCGACCGAAAAAAGTGCGCAATAGCAGCAACACACAAGAGGTGATAAAATTTTAGCAAAAAGCATGGAATATCTTTTCTTAGGGACTTGGATAACAACTGGATAAATGAGCTACCACCTGGAGTCTTCAATAATAACACTGAGTTGATTGAACTGTAAGTAACAAATATCCACGCCCATTTTGGATGTTAACCTTCGATATGCTAATAGTGTAATGTCAGTGTTTACTTAATATGATCAAGACAGTCCTCAAGCTTAGGTGTAGTTAACCATGAAGAGAATAATGAAAGAAGGCGTTCACTCCCTAGCATATGTCGGTGGCCCTCGTTTCGTAAATCCTATTTTCTATTCCCTTCCTAACGATGTTTTATCACTTTGCACGGGCGTGGCCATCATGGAGAGGGAGGCAGTTGCAAGCGTTTCCTTTCAGAAGAACAGACCTCACACTCTGCATTTCTTTTTACACCAATACTGCGGTCGAACGCGAATAGGATTAATACATTTTCACTTATTGGTGATGCAAAGTTTAAAAAACTTACATGTGGTTAAAAGGCAACATGTTGAAGAATTTGCCAGGCGACTTTTTTTCACAATTAGTCAAGCTGCAGTGGCTGTAAGTCTTCCCTTTGCTCAGGCAGCAACACGCAGGAGGTAATATGATTCTAACTAAAATCATCGAATATCTCCTCTTAGAAACCTAAGTAACAACGCGATAAAAGAGCTACCATCTGGAGTCTTCCATTATAACACTGAGTTGATCCGCCTGTAAGTAACAATTATCCACGCCCATTCTTAATATTAACCTTCGATGTGCTAAGAGTGTAGTGTCAGTGTTTACTTGATACGGTCAAGACGCTCCTCAAGCTCAGTGGGTGTTGCCAACCATGAAGAGAATGAAAGAGGGAAGAACGGTTTGTTTGCTCAGACAGTAACACGCGGAAGGTAATATGATTCTAACTAAAATCATGGAATATCTCCTCTTAGAAACCTAAGTAACAACGCGATAAAAGAGCTACCATCTGGAGTCTTCCATTATAACACTGAGTTGATCCGCCTGTAAGTAACAATTATGCACGCCCATTCTTAATATTAACCTTCGATGTGCTAAGAGTGTAGTGTCAGTGTTTACTTGATACGATCATGACAGTCCTCAAGCTTAGTGGGTGTAGTCAACCATGAAGAGAATGAAAGATGGTAGGAAGGTTTATATTTGGACAGTTTAATCAATGATCATTTCCTAGCATATGTCACTGTCCCTCGTTTTGTAAATCCTATTTTCTATTCCCTTGCTAACTTTGTTTTATCAGTTCGGATGGGCGTGGCCAGTATGTAGAGGGAGGCACTTGTAAGCGTTTCCTTTCAGAAGAACGGGTCTCGCACTCTGCATTTCCTTTCACATTAGTATTACTGCTGAACGCGAACAGGAATAATAAGTTTCCACGCATTGTTGATACAAAGTTTCCAAAACTTACAGGATTTTAAATGGCAACAAGTTGATGAATTTGCTAAGCGACTTATTTTCCCAATTAGTCAAGCTGCGGTGGCTGTAAGTAAAAATTCTTCCTCACTTACAAACTTTTTCAAGTGTCACAAGACTCACTTTCAATCAATCGCTGGTTAACATAAGACTGATCGTCATCTCCAGTAGATAATGAATAAACAAAACTTACGGGTGGCGTGAATCAAACTTGCACAGTGGCACAGTGGCCCAAGGCATATGAATAGAGCAACCTCCCCTCTCTAATTAATCACTTTCAGTTCCATACAAGATTGAACAGGATTTTGACCCCGGTGTTTATCCGGGCACAACACAAATAAACTGTTCATCTAACAGAAAAAAGAAAATAAAAAACTTGCGATAGCAGCAATTTCTAATACAAAACTTACAAAATCCTTGAAGAAGTCTGACAGTGAGACGAAACTCGTCAAAGTACGTAATATCTTTTGCTGTTTATTTCGTAATCGATGAGTTTTAAAAGCGCCTTATGCTAGGAGCGTTGATAGATATCAAGATGTAACAAATATATCAATGTTATAGCAAAGCACGTGTTTGATCCGGGCACGACATAAACAGACTGTTAATCCAACAGAAAAAATGAAAAAAAAAACCTGCAATAGCAACAATTTCTTAAAATGACACTTTAAACTGAAATCAGGGAATATTTTTTCTTAGGGAATTGGGTAACAACCAGATAAAGGAGCTGCCACCTGGAGTCTTCAATAACAACACCGAGTTGACTGAACTGTACGTAATTGAATTTCCTGGCTCTTGTGATGATAGCCTTTGATGTGCCAAGAGTTTTATCTCATTTTCAACTAAATGTGATCAAGAAGGTCCTGAAGCTTAGTAGGTGTAGTCAGCCGTTAAAAGGGTGAAAGAGAGTGGGACGGTTAATAGATGGACGGAGTTAAACAGAAAAGAGAAACCTATCCTCATTAAACAATCCTGACGTTGGTCCATGTTTTATAAATTCAATTTTTATTCCTTTCATAACTTTGTTTTATTTGCCAGTATGAAAGGGGGATTTCAGTGTTCTTTCTCAGAACAGGCTTGCACTTCGCACTTCTTTTCACACCAATACCACAGTCAAATGCGAACAAGATTTGTACTTTGCCATGGATTGTTAAAACAAAGCTTTCTTACCTTTCAGTTTGCTATACGGCAACAAGATCAATAATTTGAAAAAAAGTCCATTCTCCCAGTTAATTAAGCTGCAGTGGCTGTAAGTGGCAAGTCGTCCTCGGATATCATTTATTACAAGTTTTTCTAAAAACTAAACTACTGAGCAGCTCTCTGCGAACAGTCGTGGTAAAACTTGTTTATTCTCCGACGTGTTTCGTTTATCAGATAGCCCCCAGATATTTTTCTCACCTCGCCGCTAAATTATTCTTTACTTTCTCCAAAACTTCGCCTGTTTCTGTTCCTAAGTCCTGCCAAGCCTGTATGGTCATTGGCCCCCGTTATAGCCATAGTATGGCTTTTTAATACAAGTGTTTACCATTAACTCGCAAAACTCCCCGAAGAAGTCTATGACAGTGAGACGAAACGCGCCGAAGAATAAAGGAGTTTTACAACATGCATAAGCATGTGTTTTATCCGAATATTCAGTGAGCTTCTTCAACCACAAAGTAGACAAAATATGACCAGGTTTGCTTGTAAAGTAGCATTGTGAGGTGATCCCCACGTCATGGCGAATGCGTTGGAGAGACTTGAAGAAACCTCAACATAAGCCTAACTTGTAAATTTACTTGTACATGATAAAATCACGTTAACTTTTGCTCTAAATATTTCCACGTTAGCTTACTGTTGTTTCTTAAGTTCAATCATTGATGAGTGAGATTGTACCATACTTAAAGTGTTGATATATATCAACTTGTTTATTCACATTCAAGATTAGAGTGAAAGCGTTTGTTTGACCTGGGTACGGCACAAACAAACTGTATTCCAACCGAAACGAAAACCTCAGCCAACAACACACAGAAGGTAATATGATTCTAACTAAAATCATGGAATATCTCCTCTTAGGGACCTAAGTAACAACGCGATAAAAGAGCTACCATCTGGAGTCTTCCATAATAACACTGAGTTGATCCGCCTGTAAGTAACAATTATCCACGCCCATTCTTAATATTAACCTTCGATGTGCTAAGAGTGTAGTGTCAGTGTTTACGTGATACGATCATGACAGTCCTCAAGCTTAGTGGGTGTAGTCAACCATGAAGAGAATGAAAGAGGGTAGGAAGGTTTGTATTTGGACAGTTTAATCAATGATCATTTCCTAACATATGTCAGTGGCCCTCGTTTTGTAAATCCTATTTTCTATTCCCTTGCTAACTTTGTTTTATGAGATTGCATGGGCGTGGCCAGTATGTAGAGGGAGGCACCTGCAAGCGTTTCCTTTCAGAAAAACGGGTCTCGCACTCTGCAATTCTTTTCACATGAGTATTACGGCTGAACGCGAACAGGAAATATGAATTTCCACGCATTGTTGATACAAAGTTTCCAAAACTTACAGGATTTTAAATGGCAACAAGTTGATGAATTTGCCAGGCGACTTATTTTCCCAATTAGTCAAGCTGTGGTTGCTGTAAGTGAAAATTCTTCCTCAGTTACAAACTTTTTCAAGTGTTAAAAGACTCACTTTCAATCAATCGCTGGTTAACATGGGACTGATCGTCATCTCCAGTAGATAATGAATAAACAAAACTTACGGGTGGCGTGAATCGAACTTGCACAGTGGCACAGTGGCCCAAGGCATATGAATAAAGCAACCTCCCCTCTCTAATTAATCACTTTCAGTTTCATAGAAGACTGAACAGGTTACGTTTACTTTCACCCGCCATCGTAATGTGCTAAGAATTTCGTGAATCAGTATGGTGATAAATTTTTTTTTATGTAACTGATTCGGTGAGTTCATTTCTGATAAGCAGATATTATTATACTATGTGCATATTGACGTGTCTCATGCTTAGACACCCGTAACTTAGAGAGCGCCTTGGTAACTAGCTCTTGAACTCAGTCAACAACACTACTTCCCGCTAACTCAAGCATGAAGCGCACTCCCTTGAATTACATGTATGTTCAGTCATTTCTAATTAAGTACATTCTGTAGCTCCAAATCCCTGTTTTCACGCAATGATCTTCGCCCCCCTTTTCCGATCCAGTTATCCTCAGCAAAATCCTTATTACAGGCCGCTTCATTAATAAACTCTATTACATGCTCCAAGACACCCATTTTAAAGCGTCTAATACAGAACCCTTGATTTATCGATTTGGTTTGCTTATATTTATGCAAATGTGATGAGAATATCTTGATCTACTAAATGTGGGCAAACATTTATTCAAGTTCAGTGATTGTTGTAAGCCATATGGCAGTTAAGCTCAAACGCCAAGCTGACTCTCTTGAACAAGATATTCAAACATTTATTATCAAACCAGTAACCGTCAGCAAAAACGTGTTTTAATGTATGTTCCACGACACATTTTTAAACGATTAATACAGATCCCATCACTGGAATAAAACATCGAAGTACAAACTGGTGGGATACAAATCCAATAAAAAAATCCTGGTTTCAATCTCGTTTCCAAAGTCATCGATCCTGTTACATTCACAAAAGAAAAAGGAAAAATTTATCTCTTATTGCCAAATCATGGTCCTAAATCTTACCAGATATCCGAATAGCTTAATTTTAATGTCCCAGTACATTGCAGAGGAACAAAATTTACTAGCTAATTTTCAACAAGACAATAAGTTTGAGTAGTTACTATCAAGTTACTCTCAAGTTACCATTTAGTTCAAACCCAATTTTTTAAAAACATTTTTAATTAACTTATTTTTAAAATTAAAAAAAAATTGTTAAAAACAATTTTTTTTTAAAAACTAAACTACTGAGCAGCTCTCTGCGAACAGTAGTGGTAAAAGATATTTATTCTCCGACGTGTTTCGTTTATCAGAAAGCCTCCATACATTTTTTTTCACCTCGCCGCTAAATTATTCTTTACTTTTTCCAAAACTTTGCCTGTTTCTGTTCATAAGCCCTGCCAAGCCTATATGGTCATTGGCCCCCGTTATAGCCATAGTGTGGCTTTTTAAAACAAGTGTTTAGCATTAACTCGCAAAACTCCCCGAAGAAGTCTATGACAGTAAAACGAAACGCGTCGAAGAATAAAGAAGTTTTACAACTTGCACACGCGTGTGTTTTATCCGAATATTCAATGAGCGTCTTCAACCACAAGGTACACAAAATATGACCAGGTTCGCTTGTATAGTAGCATTGTGAGGTGATCCCCACGTCATGGCGAGTGCGTTGGAGAGACTTGAAGAAACCTCAACATAAGCCTAACTTGTAAATTTACTTGTGCATGATAAAATCACGTTATCTTTTGCTCTAAATATTTCCACGTTAGCTTATTTTTTTTTAAGTTCAATCATTGATGAGTGAGATTGTACCATACTTAAAGTGTTGATATATATCAACTTGTTCATTCACATTCATGATTAGAGTGAAAGCGTTTGTTTGACCTGGGTACGGCACAAACAAACTGTATTCCGACCGAAAAGAAAACCTCAGGCAGCAGCACACAGGAGCCAATATGATTCTAACTAAAATCATGGAATATCTCCTCTTAGGGCCCTAAGTAACAACGCGATAAAAGAGCTACCATCTGGAGTCTTCCATTATAACACTGAGTTGATCCGCCTGTAAGTAACAATTATCCACGCCCATTCTTAATATTTACTTGATACGATTATGACAGTTCTCAAGCTTAGTGGGTGTAGTCAACCATGAAGAGAATGAAAGAGGGTAGGAAGGTTTGTATTTGGACAGTTTAATCAATGATCATTTCCTAGCATATTTCCTGGTTTTGTAAATCCTATTTTCTATTCCCTTGCTAACTTTGTTTTATCAGTTTGCATGGGCGTGGCCAGTATGTAGAGGGAGACACCTGCAAGCGTTTCCTTTCAGAAGAACGGGTCTCGCACTCTGCATTTCTTTTCACATTAGTATTACGGCTGAACGCGAGCAGGAATTATAAATTTCCAAGCATTGTTGATACAAAGTTTCCAAAACTTACAGGATGTTGAATGGCAACAGGTTGATGAATTTGCCGGGCGACTTATTTTCCCAATTAGTCAAGCTGCGGTGGCTGTAAGTGAAAATTCTTCCTCACTTACAAACTTTTTCAAGTGTCACAAGACTCACTTTCAATCAATCGCTGGTTAACATAAGACTGATCGTCATCTCCAGTAGATAATGAATAAACAAAACTTAATGGAGGCGTGAATCAAACTTGCACAGTGGCACAGTGGCCCAAGGCATATGAATAGAGCAACCTCCCCTCTCTAATTAATCACTTTCAGTTTCATAAAAGACTGAACAGGTTACGTTTATTTTGACCCGCCATCGTAATGTGCTAAGAATTTCGTGAATCAGTATGGTGATAAATTTTTTATGTAACCGATTCGGTGAGTTCATTTCTGATAAACAGATATTATTATACTATGTGCATATTGACGTGTCTTATGCATAGACATTCGTAGTTCAGAGAGCGCCTTGGTAACTAGCTCTCGAACTCAGTCAACAACACTACTTCCCGCTAACTTAAGCATGAAGCGCACTCCCTTGAATTACATGTATATTCAGTCGTTTCTAATTTAGTACATTCTGTAGCTCCAAATCCCTGTTTTCACGTGGTGATCCTCGTCCCCCTTTTCCGATCCTGTTATCCTCAGCAAAATCATTATCACAGGCCGCTTCATTAATAAACTCTATTACATTACTAACCTCAACTTGAAGAAACCTCAACATAAGCCTAACTTGTAAATTTACTTGTACATGATAAAATCACGTTAACTTTTGCTCTAAATATTTCCACCTTAGCTTACTGTTGTTTCTTAAGTTCAATCATTGATGAGTGAGATTGTATCATACTTAAAGTGTTGATATATATCAACTTGTTCATTCAAATTCATGATTAGAGTGGAAGCGTTTGTTTGGCCTGAGTACGGCACAAATAAACTGTAATCCAACCGAAAAGAAAACCTCAGGCAGCAACACACAGGAGGTAATATGATTCTAACTAAAATCATGGAATATCTCCTCTTAGGGCCCTAAGTAACAACGCGATAAAAGAGCTACCATCTGGAGTCTTCCATAATAACACTGAGTTGAGGGGCCTGTAAGTAACAATTATCCACGCCCATTCTTAATATTAACCCTCGATGTGCTAAGAGTGTCGTGTCAGTGTTTACTTGATACGATCATGACAGTCCTCAAGCTTAGTGGGTGTAGTCATGCATGAAGAGAATGAAAGAGGGTAGGAAGGTTTGTATTTAGACAGTTTAATCAATGATCATTTCCTAGCATATGTCACTGGCCCTCGTTTTGTAAATCCTATTTTCTATTCCCTTTCTAACTTTGTTTTATCAGTTTGCATGGGCGTGGCCAGTATGAAGAGGGAGGCACCTGCAAGCGTTTCCTTTCAGAAGAACGGGTCTCGCACTCTGCATTTCTTTTCACATGAGTATTACGGCTGAATGCGAGCAGGAATTATAAATTTCCACGCATTGTTGATACAAAGTTTCCAAAACTTACAGGATTTTAAACGGCAACAAGTTGATGAATTTGCCAGGCAACTTATTTTCCCAATTAGTCAAGCTGCGGTGGCTGTAAGTGAAAATTCTTCCCCACTTACAAACTTTTTCAAGTGTCACAAGACTCACTTTCAATCAATCGCTGGTTAACATGGGACTGATCGTCATCAACCTCCCCTCTCTAATTAATCACTTTCAGTTTCATAAAAGATTGAACAGGTTACGTTTATTTTGCACCACCATTGTAATGTGCTAAGAATTTCGTGAATCAGTATGGTTTCAATCTCTTTTCCAAAGTCATTGAACCTGTTACAGTCACAAATTGTTTAGAAGGAGAAATTTATCCTTTATCACCAAATCATGGTCCTAAATCTTACCAGATATCCGAATAGCTTAATTTTAATGTCCCAGTACATTGCAGAGGAACAAAATTTACTAGCTAATTTTCAACAAGACAATAAGTTTGAGAAGTTACTATCAAGTTACTCTCAAGTTACCATTAGGTTCAAACCCAATTTTTTAAAAAATATATTTCAATTAACCTTTTTTCAAAATTCAAAAAACTAAACTACTGAGCAGCTCTCTGCGAACAGTAGTGGTAAAACTTGTTTATTCTCCGACGCGTTTCGTTTATCAGTTAGCCCCCAGATATTTTTCTCACCTCGCCGCTAAATTATTCTTTAATTTTTCCAAAACGTCGCCTGTTTCTGTTCGTAAGCCCTGCCAAGCCTATATGGTCATTGGCACCCCTTATAGCCATATTATGGCTTTTTAATACAAGTGTTTAGCATTAACTTGCAAAACTCCCCGAAGAAGTCTATGACAGTAAGCAGAAACGCGTCAAAGAATAAAGAAGTTTTACAACTAGCATAAGCGTGTGTTTATCCGGGCACAACACAAATAAACTGTTCATCCAACAGAAAAAAGAAAAATAAAAAACTTGCGATAGCAGCAATTTCTAATACAAAACTCGTAAAACTCCCTGAAGAAGTCTGACAGTGAGACGAAACTCGTCGAAGTACGTAATATCTTTTGCTATTTGTTTAATAATCGATGAGTTTTAAAAGCGCCTTATGCTAGGAGCGTTGATAGATATCAAGATGTAACAAATATATCAATGTTATAGCAAAGCACTCGTTTGATCCGGGCACGACATAAACAGACTGTTAATCCAACAGAAAAAATAAAATAAAAACCTGCAATAGCAACAATTTCTAAAAAATGACACTTTTAACTGAAATCAGGGAATATTTTTTTCTTAGCGAATTGGGTAACAACCAGATAAAGGAGCTGCCAACTGGAGTCTTCAATAAGAACACCGAGTTGATCAAACTGTGCGTAATTGATTTTTCCTGGCTCTTGTGATGATAGCCTTTGATGTGCCAAGAGTTTTATCTCATTGTCAACTAAATGTGATCAAGAAGGTCCTGAAGCTTAGTAGGTGTAGTCAGCCGTTAAAAGGGTGAAAGAGAGTGGGACAGTTCATAGATGGACGGAGTTTAACAGAAAAGAGAAACCTATCCTCATTAAACAATCCTTTCAGTTTCATAGATGATCATATCCTAACATCTGACGTTGGTCCACGTTTTATAAATTCAATTTTTATTCCTTTCATAACTTTGTTTTATTTGCCAGTATGAAAAGGAGATTACAAGTGTTCTTTCTCAGAACAGGCTTGCACTTCGCACTTCTTTTCACACCAATACCACAGTCAAATGCAAACAAGATTTATACTTTACTAAGGATCGTTAAAACAAGCTTTCTTACCTTACAGTTGGTTATACGGCAACAAGATCAAGAATTTGAGAAGCAATCCATTCTCCCAGTTAATTAAGCTGCAGTGGCTGTAAGTGGAAAGTCGTCCTCGTATCTCACCTATTACAAGTGTCACAGCTCACATCATAATTCAAATGGTGCATATTCCTTTGCATCGATCACATCCTTCAACCCTTGAATATCTACGTAACAAACAGACCGATAACGAACGCCCCATTCAACGATCAAAGATATAGCAGCTAAATCTAACAGCAGACAAGATCTGAGTTACAAGATCAGGTACCTCAAAAGCCTCGTACGAATCTGTTTTTAGTCGCAAATTAAAGGAAGGGTCGCATAAAATTCAATAAATTACTTTCGAACTCAAAAATTGTTGGTTCCAAAATTTTGAGCTTTGGGGAGCCTATCGGCCCAAATAAAGTGTTTTCCAGCAAATTTGAACTAGAGTAATTGTAACACTTTTTTAACCCTTCTCCTCTACAGACAACTTAACGACAACGACCAAACAGAGTTACCAGAGGGTTTGTTTGATGGTTTAAGAGCATTGACACGACTGTGAGTAAAGAAAAGAAAAATGGTAATAGTTGAAATTATTTGTGTGACAAATTGGACACCTGCAGATTGAAGGTGGAAAAAACAGCAATCTACTGAGAAGGAAAGAAAAAATACAAAAATGTTGCTGTAGGAGTCATTATTTTATACCTTAATTTTTATATTTTTGTTGGATGAATGAGCAAAATAATGCGTAGTAAGGATGTTTCAGTAACTTAACAAAATAATAAGAGCCAGACTAATCGAAACTTTTAGAAATCAACTTTTACAAAAAGTAAATAATTCAGGATGTTTACCAGTCTTGTGTTTCTGAAATAAGTTTGGAAAACTCGTCATAATAGGAAGATATGAAAACATTTACCTATCATTGCCTTGTTATTCTTTTTATCAGATGGCTGCAAAATAACGAAATCAGGAAGCTTTCTAAACACGTTTTCAAAGATTTGACTAGTTTGGAAGAGCTGTGAGTATGATAAAAAAGAACTGTGTTTGCAAAAAATATTGACTCTTTCAATGTTCTCCTCCTTTAAATGGAAAAAGCATTTGAAAAGAAATCCCCTCAAGTTGCATCAGCTGCTTTATATTTTACTAATCACTCTGTGCAGGTGTAATTGGACCGTGTAACGGGACAGTTGGCTGTAATCGGACACCTGTGATCGGACAGTTGAAGCAGCCAATCTTATGAAGTCCACTAGCTAAATTCACCAATCACAGAATTGATCACAATAACCATAGCAACAATCACTTACTCTGAAAAAAAAACTGGGAAATTTCCAAATTTTTTGGTTTAGCCATTGTCCCGACTGGATATGTTTGTCCTAAATTTCTTTTCGGAAATTGTTATGGTTTTGATTAAATGGTAACAGGAGTTCGTGTCGTCCAATTCTGTCTGAAATTATACTCGTGATTGACAAATGGACTCTCGCTTCGCGTTCGTCCGATTTTGTCAATCACTCGAATGATTACAAACCGAATTGGAATCCACTCGATCTTATCACCATCATATATAAGACCAATCTCGGTAAACCTGGCTCTGTCAGAGTTGGCCGAGCAAGTATCTACGAAGGCCTAGCTACCCTGAGAAGAACGATCCGAGCCAATTCGGCGTTACCCCAAAATCTTCTACGCTGCATGCTCTCATCTCCCAAAGGTAGTAGAAGTGCAATCCAAAGCGCTATCACAGAAGTAAAGCAGTAGTGTCCTTACAAAAATCTTTAGATGAACTCAGATAAGTGTAAAGAATTGATTATTGACTTCAAGAGAACCAACACCATTTCGACGCCGTAACCGTCAACTCCGAGGACCTTGAACTTTGCCAAAACCACATATTAGGGGTAACCATATCTAATAACTTTCAATGAAATTGTCTAGTCTCTGATGTAATCAAAAGGGCCAATAAGCTCACACATTTCTTGATCTTGCTGGAGCGAGAAAACGTTCCGGCTCATAATACCTGCATTAGAGCGTGATCAGAAACGCGTGCTTTCTCGTAATTTCTCCTGGCGTTTCATATCATTACAATCAAGCATTTACAACATCAGAACTTTGAAATACAAGCGCAAAGAATGGTGCTATAAATTCTTTTACTCAGCCATATCTAATACTGCGCGTAAACTCCATCATCAGCTACCAAACAAGGACATCAGAAGATATAATTTTATTCCAGCCAGCGTACTTTCATTTTCCCAAAATGCGCAATGATCGTTACGCGAACACATTTATTCCATTCATCTCCAAACAATACAACTTTCGTACGTGCTGTTTTTTTAGAATCATTTTATATTACACGAGATTATTACTTTAAAAATGCGTATATAACTTTAACTTTTTGTAAATTTCACGTAAATCAGTCCTAAAAAGGCTGCGAATTTGAATATTTTAATGAACTCTCTCACATCTCTCTCTCTCTCGTCCCGATCTGACCGGTACGTGGTCTTCCGCGGTAGTTATGCTATGAGTTATATGCGTGAGGATGCTTGAGTAAAAAGCCTGAAATCTAAATATAACTGGAGTAGCTCAGTGCTCTTCCTACGTTTAGTATGAAGATAGACTGGTGTCTAGTGAAATGTAGCGCAAGAGCTGTTTGGTTGTTTCCTCATACTGTCTTCTTCGCGCGAATTACATTCCGGCTGATGTTATTTTTTTCTGAATTTTCTGAAAGTTCTAATGCATTTCCCCTTGAACCTTTCAGGGATCTGTCTAATAATACGGTTGAGAATCTGCCACAAGACGTCTTTAGCAACCTAACAAATCTCGAACAGCTGTAAGTCGACAATAAAAACATTACAAAACTAAAACAGCCACGACAAGGAAAGCGGTTCTCATCCTAAGCATGTTCGAGTTACGAAAACTTCTCAATTTGCCTGAAATTCAATAACGCAAGAAATAGACGTTTTGAACTTGAACTTGAGTTTTCATTACAATAATTTTATCAAATTATGTCTATCGCCTTGATCTAATTAAACATGTTCATCAAAACGTCTCTCTCTCTGAATGAATGCCAAGGACATATCTTTGTATCGTTTGCATTGTAAAAAATACCGTCAATCTTACCAGTTACAATCATATGTTATGGGAACCATTTTGTTTTGCCGTTAAACGCAAATGACAGGTGTTTTTCATACACTGAAGCCTATCATTCGTCAATGTCTGGCTTACTGTTTCGTACTTGCAGGTTTTTATCCAAAAACCAAATTGGAGAATTACCATCAACGATATTTGTTAACCTGACCATGCTTAAGGCATTGTGAGTAGAGATGGAAATCTTGAAATATTAATTAGCTGTCAGTTGATTGATTGATTTATCGATTTGGGAAATAAAACAGTAAGAGAACATTATAAAAGATCCTGAAAGTTAAATTACGGGAAAGAATTGTGACCATGTTTAGATTGCTTTCGAAGTGGACGATTTTAGAGGTATGTGAGGTCTAAAATGGATCAATGTACTTCAATTTATTGTTAAAATTAATCGAGGACTGCTCTCGATTTGCTTTCATCACCCTTATCATTAATCGACTCCAAGCTAAAACCAAGCGCGACTGGCTCAAGCACTACCACTGAAACTTAAAGCCATGTGCATGTTTGTATTACTTTTAGTTCTGATTATCTTCGTCAATTTCTTCATTTTAATTGGTTGTTGCGGTTACTTTGGCTTGGGGTGGAGAAATCGTAACCGAAAGGCACGCTGGATACGTTGGAGCCAATTCACATCTCAAATTAAGAAGAAGGTTAATCATTAACAATTTTCTGTTTTACAATTTAACAGAAAAATGGAGAAAAATAAGTTAAAAGAGCTCCATCCTAAACAATTTCGCGGACTGGCAAAGCTAGAAGGGCTGTAAGTAGTTTATGTAATGATCTGAGTTTTCTATGGGTCTATTTTCTGCATAGAGGCTAAGAATATCTCATTACGCTGATTATACGACTTTGCCTGATTGAAAAACTTTTTCTCATTGCAATTTATTGCGGAAGACGCTCACCCGATCAAGTTTTCCATATTTAAGAAAATTTAAGGCCCTGTGTTATAACTTACCTATGTTTTTCCGGAATTCCTAAAATAAATGCATGCGGAGGGTCTGTGGAGATTACTGGAGAACCTATGGGCCGGGTTAGAAATAATGTAGATGAATTATCAGTAACAACTTGTTTGTAAACTTCGTGCAATGACGATGCTCCTCTCGAAAAGTCCAAAAACTGAAAAAAATTAATGTGATTACATAAGAAAATGTTTGTAAATTTTCTTCCAACTTACGAAAAACGTTATCGATGTCCCGTCCTTTCATTCCTGAAGTTTGCCTTACATTTTATTTTTCTTCCTTTCTTTATTAGCCATCTTTCGGGAAACAAACTGAGAAACTTGCCACAAGGAATTTTCAAAGGCCTCAAGAGGCTTCTAATTATGTGAGTAGAATATGAAGTTCATTTTGAGCTCAATTTGATCGAATTGGTATCTCAGTATCTTCTAATCATCGCACTTAGCAGTTTGATATCCACACATCAATGCACAAAAATTATATCATAGCTGTTTTGCTAATTGTTTTCTTTTCATCTGTTTTTCGTAAGAGAACTCTTTGAAAACGAACTGAGGAACGTTTCCATTGACAACTTCAAAGAAATCAGGCAGTTAAGAATTCTGTGAGTGTTTAATTTTCATTAAAGAAAAAATGAGAATCAAATTATGAAAGACACTGACTGCCATCAAAGGTTCAGTCAAGAAATAAAAAAGCACAAATCGATACGCTAAGTTAGAAGCGACACTCCGGAAATGCTCTTCCATTCGTTGATTTCATACTTATATTCTTGTCTTTAAATATCTACATTTTCAGATATTTGCATTATAACCACATGAGGGAAATTCCCTACGGATTTTTTAAAGTGCTGAAGGATATATTACGAGTGTAAGATTTTGATGTGATTTATACGATACAATTACAACTTATTAGCAGAGCTATATGAATAGAAATAATAATAATAATAATAATAATAATAATAATAATAACTTTATTTAAGTGTCAGTGTATTTTTAGCACTGTTGTGCTAATTGGGGACACTGTAAAATAAGGAAACAAATATCGTAAATGAACAGAAACTCGTTAAAAACCCCAACTGGTAGAAGGCAGACCAGTTGGCTATTTACAAAGCGTGCAGGAGTTGAATTCGGGGCCACCGAAGACAAATCCTTCTAGTGGCAGGGAGGAGGACTTGAACCCGGGACCTCCGGCTTACAAGTGCAGCCCCCAACCACAAGGGCACGCTCCCCTCCTCAAAGCGTCTAGGGGTTCCTTCAGTTCAAATGTTTTCTAGCACAGAGCTTCAGGCAAATGAGCTCGTGGTTTCTTTCCTTTACTAAATATCTATGGTCAGCTTTGTTACCCTATCGACGAATCTTATAAAAACCCCATTTTGTTGGGTAACACGCCTCACAAAGACTGCTATTACACATTACATTGCTTCACAATATCGCAAGAAAAATTTTCGAACATATTCAATGAAGATACATAGTTACAATAACCTCTATATGAGGAAATAAATTCTGTTCAACTGATCTCGCGTTACCTTTGTGCTCTTAGGGAATAGGCTTTTGGTTTTATCTTTTATTCAGTCCTTATGGACTGAATAGCATCATATTTTACGGTTGCAGGAGTTTCGACACAAACCTGATGTGTTGTCATATGCACAAGGAGGACGCTGACTGTGCTTTCATTGCCAACGACGACTTCGCCAACTGTGAGAGCATGTTCAAGAGCCCAACCCCGAGGAAGAGCATATGGGCAATCGGCTCCCTTTCCCTAGCTGGGTCTGTGTTTGTCATCACATGGCGTTCAGTCTTTAAGGATACAAACACGGTACAATCAATCATGTTATTGCACTTGGCAGTCTCCGATGGTTTAATGGGAGCATACCTAATCACACTGGGTGTCAAAGATCTGTTGTGGAGAGGAGAGTATTACTTACATGACTTCCAGTGGCGGTCCAGTTTAGCTTGCCAGATAACTGGTGCCACCTCTTTGCTATCCAGTGAGGTCTCCTTGATGCTGATGGCTTTGATATCTGCAGACCGACTCAAGAACATTGTGTTCCCGTTCAGAGGTGGAGCACTTTCGCGGAAGATGACCCACATCCTTTGCACCATCATATGGCTCGTCGGCTTCCTCCTGGCTTTCTTTCCGATGTTTGGCTTGAGATATTTCGAAGATCTTACCACATATCACAACTACTATGGAAAAAGTGTTGTCTGCCTTCCCTTACAGCTCTCTCGTCACAAAACGGAAGGCTGGGAGTACTCTGTTTCTGTATTTATTGGCCTCAATTTCTTCCTCTTCATATTCATCACAGTTGCCTACCTCATCATATTCATAAGCAGAGTGCGAGTTAAAAACCAATCAGCCAACATAAGGAGGGAGACCGGTCTGGCCAAAAGACTGTTCTTCATCATCTTCACTGACTGTCTCTGCTGGATGCCAATCATCGTGTTTGGTATTGGGTCGCTTTTGGAGAAGAATTACAAACCACCAAGAGACTTGGCCGTTTGGATTGCCGTGTTTGTTCTGCCCATCAATTCAGCGATAAACCCGATTCTGTACACGTTAGCAACACCAAAGGTAAAGAACAACATTTCTTAATCATATTTAAGATCTAAATTATTTGAGGGAAGACCCAGTGTTCTGGCGGTTAACACGGTGGGTTCTTAAACGCACTGACAAGGGGCTTCTTAAGCTAGACACTCTAACAGTGAATCCATTCAGCCGTTTAAACGAGTATTTTTAAACTACCCGGGAAAGTTTATTCTTCGTCCAAGTACTGGCCTGAATAATCCTGGTTGCTTCACACTACCAAGAGTGTAATTATTATAAAGACGTCAAGCAAGCAATCGATCGAGATCATTGGCACTTGTTACTCTCTAACAATTGATAAGGGAAAATAGTCAGTTGATGGACGTCGTTATTGACAATTTTCTCTCCTCTCCAGGCGCAAGAGTATCTGGGAAGCAAAATAGCAATGCTGAGAAGCTTCATACGGAGTACTTTTCACTGCAGTGAATATCAAGAGGGTAGTTATACCCATTTTTCCATTCTTTCTATTCCATAGTTTATAGACTAAAATTGAAAACGTTGTTCTTAATAGTAAAACGTTCTCTCTGTGACTTACGCCACGTTTGAGATCGATATCATATTGTCGTAGTATTAATCCATTGATTTACTCATGCCTTGTTTGATAAGGACAACAACAAGATCCACGAGAGATTGAAGATAACGGGCAACAAGAAGGTAATACCATTTTACTGAGTTCTTTTTGTCACTGTATCCTCCTCAGGAATCGTTTTCATTTACATTTTTATTTTCTCGATGTTGTCCTCCAGTTCGTTTTTTATCTTTGTTTCCCCAGATCAACAAGAAGGAGAAGCAGTGGAAATGCAGATTCTTGGATTGCCACATCCAGATCAAGGTGTTTAAAATAGAATTTGCTCGTTCACTGTCCCAAACCAAGTAGATATCAATTGAAGTTCTCTTCGCTTAAGACACCCAATTGTTTTTGGGCAAAAAACAGCGCAAAGAACTCTGATGAGGAAATGCACTAAAACATAGCTTCAGTAGCATTTTGAATTAGTTTTTTTTAAAGGAACCGTTGGCTGAAATAGAATCACTCAGCGCTTGTATGGCTAAGATTACTTTTATTTGCATTTAATTACTCTTGTGTCCTACACTTCTCGAAAGTGCCTGTCTTCTAAGTAGAATGACTAACTATAGATTCGTGTTTTGGGGAAAGATGAGTCTTACACTCTTGTATTTATCCATTTATCAAGATGCACAAGAGCAACATGGAGACAATCCAATTGGAATTGTCCAACAGCTTCACAAGGAGGGTATGTAATGACATCATTGTTGATTACAATGTTTTTATAATTATCGAGATCATTTAATTCATTCGAAAATGTATCTCATAAAAGTCGTTAAAACATCGTTTTGCTTTTTTTCTTGTGTTAGGAAGCTTATTTGCTCACTTATTTCTATGTGTATTTAGATCAGCAAGGAGCTGAAATGCTGGAAATGCAGCAAATACCTCCCCAAGAACAAGGTTATTCACAACTTTTTCAACTGACAAACAACAAAATAAATAATAACTATCCATTTTACTATTGGTTTTCCAGCTTATTCGATTAGCATTGTTGTGGTTTCTCTTAAACTTTGTTTTGCTTTTAACTTTAATTTAGAAGAAGGCCACGAAGGAGAAGAAGACGTTGTTGAAGAGGATGATCTGGAATATGATACAAAGTTGTAATCATTGATCGATGAAAGGATAATAAGTAAACACCAGTTTAACCCTAAACTTCTTAGTAATCTGTAATAAGTAGTAATTAGTAATTAGTAATCCTTTTTAACTTATTTTATTGTTATAGATAACAATAATTTTATGTCATTAGGAGGATACGTCGAGCTTATAGGACTGTTTAATCTAGATACCTGCAAGCTGTACGGTACGTTTAAATTGCAAGGGGGAGATGCCCTGTTAATCGTAACTGATGGCTCAGGAATAAATTTACCACCTAAATGTAGTTATATTTCCCTTGCTGTAGTTCGTGAACACTCAATAAAAAGAGCAATATGAACAATTATTAACATAGGGTTAACTGTAAAATGAAAATTTCCACCAGTAGTCATAATAGTTTGGTTGAACGCAATAGGTTTATTTAAAGCAAGATTACCTTCCAACATTTTCCGATCAGATCAGACATGAGAAAATTTCTCGCAAAGTTGATAATTTCATTAACAAATGTGATCTTTTTTGATATCACTGACCTTCTGTTTCAAAACGTTTGTTCTCGACATACTAGTCAAAGAAAAAATATTTACTTTCTTGTAAGAAAATGATGATGGATAGTAAAGTTTTAAATAAGAAAGAACAGTCGATATGGTAACTACATATACTCACAAATCTTAGCAAACCTTTTATTGCTTTGCATCTCTTAGTGTCGGATATATATCGTGAACAGACCTCAGGGGAGAGCAGGACTACCTTGCAAGAAAAATATACCATCTTTATCTTTCATCTTTAAGCTGCAAGTCGTAGTTAGTAGACAATGATATGAGGTTAGCATAACACTAAGTTTGACGTAATTAAAAATAAAAAAAAAATTAACACTATCAAAAATCCGAATCCGGCGGTGATACATGAAGTGTTTTTGTGTGCTTCACCAAACGCAAATCACCAAAACTGGTGAGAAGTCTTGGGTTGGCCTGTCAAACACTGATCCCTTTGTTTAAAAAAGAATGTAACTTTCCTATGTCGAAAAGTAGGATCAAAACAAAGACAGTTTTAACAATGACCGATATGACACAATCAACTGAGCTTCAAGCTTCTAAAAGACCAAAGGATGGTTATAAAGTTACTGTAAAAATTTCCTTGTGTATTAGTGTTGTTCTATCTTGAGACGAACTTAAAGTCCGGCAAAATTTACTTGATAGCGACTATGGAATATATATGGTGCGCCTACTTGTCGCCACCGTTAATTGGCATAAATCACTGCAATTTGTAAAAAAGTCTAACAAAACACTCTTACCTTGTTTATTTACGATTTTATTAGCTGTTTCGATGATCACGTTCTAATGCTCTACCACATTCTAGCCAGATTTGAGTTCCAGTTTATATATCTTCTCTATCTTATTATATCAGTTGCGTGACAAGCGTGACACAGAAATTCGATGGAATTCGCGATCAGCAGATTTTGAGTCCGGTGACGTTGCTCTACTTAATGTTAATATCATAAAATCGCTCTCGATTATAATTTTTTAAGCGACTTAAAATAGGCCCATCATGTGCTTTTATGAAATAAGTGTTCATCCAATTATAATCCATCAAAACGTTTTGCTCGCGCGCGTTTTGTACAAACGCAACCCCGCTGCAACTTGCATGCGGGATCTCTTTTTGAATACTTTTACATTTAAAGGAGGAGAACATTGATATTGAAAGAGTCAATATTTCATTGTTTTGAATTTTAATTGTAAAGATAATTTTTTTTTGACATGGTTTGATGCTACTCTGGTTTGCAGCTTTAATGAATGTAACCGAAGAAGTTGCAATTCATAGGCCCAACGTTTCGACACTCCTGTCTAGTGCCTTCATTAGAGGTGATCTAAACGCTGCATCAAGAGGTCCTTTTATATGATTGTCCACCTGGTTGCCGTGTGAACTTTAATATATAATTCTTTTTTATCATACTCACAGCTCTTCCAAATTAGTCAAATCTTTGAAAACGTGTTTAAGAAGCTTCCTGATTCTATTGTCTTGTCTTACAGCCGTCCGATAAAAAAGATAGAAAAATACGACAGATAAATTTTTTCATATCTTCTAATTGTTATGAGTTTTTGGGGTGGGGGGAGGGGGATTTGTAGTTACCCGGTTTCAGCACCACTGTCGCCTTAAGGCGCATTTTGTGATCTCTTACAAAACCACTTTTCGAAAACCATCCTACCCGAGGGGTGGGGAGGGGATGGAAGTATTTGAGCGCCTACGGCATGTTACATTTTAGAGAGTTTTAGATAAAAAGTTGTTCTTTTCGTCATCTAAATTAAATATTTGATTCTTTAAAAGCCGGTGATGTGTTGATGACTCATATCATGTCGATTATATTATATAAAAATGCGAAACTGGCTAAAAGGCACAATTGCTGACGGTATTGCACAGATGTTTGTGAGTGTCATCCATGGTGACTTGAAACGAATGGACAGCGAGTTCATAAGAATATTCATCTTTAGGTAATTATCTGGTAAAGCTGTATGCAGACGGCGTTCTGTATTTGAATTCATTGCTATTTAAAGACCGTTCGATCTGAATCGAAGAAAGGGATCAGAGAAAATATTTTTGAGGTATTTATTCTCTTTGTCATTTAAAATGTCTATACAAGGAAAGATAACAATGAAACATCAGTATATTATGACACAAAGTTAACTGTGTTAAGGGCAGATCTTTAAATCCTACGGGACAGAATGATTCTTATTATCCATTCTTAAGATCTTTCTCCCAGCTTTATCATATTATTGCTCAATATTCAAACAAGTCGGAAAGGAATTTTTTAATGAGCATTTTTTTATTTAAAGGGATGATAAAGACATCCATTGTTACTCTGCCCTGTCGTCAAATACTGCGCCAAAGTTTCACAGGGGAGAATAGGGGATTTGAAAATTGATCACTGAGTTTTCCCTTATTCCTTTCAGTTCTTATTTAGACTTTCTCCGCTGGGAGAATGATAATAATAACATATTCATGTTTTTTTATCCAATGAATTGTTCACCGCGACACGTTCTTCTGGCGTGCACCGAACGGAAATACAAGAAAGAATTAAAGAAACTTCTGGAAAATATTTCACTGAAGAAAATGTAACTGCAGAGGTAGGAGAGAAGTGAATTTTGCAATAATTTCTTTACAACCTCTCTTTTCCGACAGAGACACAATTTAATATGGTAATATAAATTGAGGGTCTCAATAATGTGATGGCTTATTCTGATGACCATTGTAGTCATCAGAATAATTTTCATAGTTTATTATTTTTACAACCAACAGTTAAAATTTGTCAATTTTTGCGCCCAACGGTTTAACTATTGGTATTTTACGACTAACGATCAACCCCATTGGAACCCTCCAAATTGTTCTTATTATCAAATGTACTAAAATTTGATTCAGGGGATATCCCGTTAAAGTCTTATTCAGGTACAGCAGTTCTTTAAAAAGATAATATTTTTCTTGCTAATTATGATATCGCTGTATCTTGTCGTTTTTAACTGCTCTGTGAGGTAATGAGATTCGGCCCACATACAAGGCGGTTAACCCAGAGGAAAATATATTATCCATAATTTTACGTTATTTGATCAAATTCTTAAACTCAAATCAATCTTCTTAAACTTCCCTCAGCCCATCAGCTGAAAACAGGAAGATGGTGCCCAGAAGGACCTTCTGGGGTTTCATAATTGCTTTCTGTAAGCACCGTTGTCTTTGTTTGCGAGAATCTAGTTAAGAGACCAGAAGTCTTATACAGGCCTATTCCAGCGCATCGCAAATCGATATTTTTTGTGTTGCTAAAATATTTCGACCCTTTTCAACTCCATGGTGTCCAGCGAGAGAGACACGCGGCGGAGAACCCCTGAGGGTATTGCGAAAATCGAGTTACTGCTCCTCGGTAAATTACGAGACGGTTCAGCGCCTCAGTTGATTTCAGTTGCTCTCGCGAATTCGATCCTCTTTACTCCTCGAGAGGAGACGACTGTACGCGCCGTGACGGTGAGCCGTGCGTGATGATAAAATTCAATTAGTGTCGGGAAAAATTTTCAACACAAGAAAATACTTGCTAATGATTCTCTTTGTTCAAGTTTCAAGTAAAGTGTACATCTAAACGATCACCTTTAAAATTATACAAGTAAATGACTCATCCGATGAGCTCCGCGGCTCTGTTTTTAATGGGTGCTCGCAAAGTTTCGTCACTTACGTTCTATAACGAAATAATCTATCAAAAAGGCGATTAAAATACCTCATTAATCAAATCTTCACGCCAAACTGAGAAATCGAAAGAAAAGTTTGAATGTGAATCTTACGCGTATCTTTTTCTTACTAGTTTTCATAGACAACAAATCTCCATCTTATTTGACACATATGCCATGGCTTTCGATTAAAACGTCGTATCGAGTTTGGCTTTCCGTTGTGGCTTTATGAAAGCCGCTTCCATTTGAGATACTACCTCTAAATAGCTTTGTTGAAATTGAAATATCTCAAAACCTAGGCGAGGAGCAGCCATCATTGTCCCTTCTTTTTTTCTTTATTTTACTTGCAGTTTTGTTAATACTGGAAGTACGCCTTCAGAGAGTTGTCCCATGGTTTCACTCAAGTATACTATTACAAGCTCCAAAAGGACATTACGTGGAACTGAATTTCACCATGGAGAGTTCATATCTAACACCCTGCATTGATGATAAGTACCTTGAGGTTCGTGATGGATACAACAAGTCTGCCAATCTTCTTGGTGTATTTTGTGGAAGGAACATCTCTGTTATTGTGCGATCCAGAGGACAGAACTTGTGGATCAGAAAATCAGCCCATAATTTTAGCAGGTTTCGGGGCTCGTACACCAACAAAACACTGAACTTTACAGGTATTGTCCTCTGAAATTACTAACTGAAACAATTCTAAGGTGTTTCTAAGTTGTCGTAACACGGATGGAATAGATGGCAATAACGAGTACTGCAACTCATTTGGTAATTTCATTTATTTGTTTTCTTCCAGTTGAACCCAACCTAGACAAGGTGGCCAAAACTCAATTTGTTATTTTCAACCAAACTTCATCTCTTTGGTGTCCAGCACAAGGTGCACCAGCACCATCTATAGTTTGGAGAAAGAACGGCATTGTGGTACAGAACAGTACAGGTGTCAAATATCAGCTTACCATTACTGAGGAGAACAATGACAAGTACAGCTGTGAAGTGAAGAAAGAGAATGGTTATGACAAGAAAGAAATCCGTCTTGTCATTGAAAGTGAGTTTTTTCACAAACGAATTAAGTGGGGTGAGTTTTTAAAGAAACTGTGGTGCCTCTTCAGTGGGGAGTATTACTGAGTATTACTGAGATGACTTGGTTTTGCTCTTCGCAGAGCGAAACATTTCTCCCTGACGAAGGGCTAACCCTCCAAACGTCAGCTTTAAAAACCCTTTACGGTGGCAAATTTTTATTGTCAACTCAGTTGATAAAACTAAACTAACTAAACTATTAATTTACAAACAATTGATTCTCAAATCAGTCTGGCGTAGAGGAAAATATACTGCACATTTGCAAAGTTTGCCTAATTGCAAAAAAAATGAGCAACTCTTAACGCTCTCTAAACTTTTAAGCTGAAAGACTGACGCAATAGTTTTATTGACCAGGAGCCAATGTATGAAGCGTTCACGAGATAACTAGATGGCAGCTATCATTTCAGAGTACTCCAATGCACACACTCAGAGAGTACCACCAAAGAGCCTCACAACAAAGAAACGTTAGTACATTCATATCGTCTTGCTTTATTCAAGGCTGCCCAAATACCTGTCGATGTACAATTGCAGTTGGAATCATGGACGCAGCTACTTGCATTGAATGTCGAGGAAAACACTTACAGACAGTTCCACGGCACTTACCCTTTTCTACAGCGAAATTGTAAGCGTTTCAACTCTTCTACTTTCTCTAGGCGGGGGTGTGGGGGATGGGAAATAATAAAAAGCAATGCACAAGACGTAAGATGTTCAATCTAACCCTAGAAAAATAACCCCAATTTTAAAGAAAAAAACCAAATAGAGCAGCCATCACCTGAAGACTTCCATAACAACTCGCCTTTGGTCGTACTGTAAGAGACTAATGTTATACTTTTGTCGCTATTGGCGATTGATGTGCTAAGAGGTAACACTGTTTACCGATACAGGGGTGATATTGTCTTATGTGATGGTTTGAAATAGTTTTAATACTTTCAGGCGGTTACAAAATAACAAGATCAAGAAGCTGCGAGGTGACTCGTTTTCTCAGTTAGTCAGGCTGCGAGAGCTGTAAGTGAAACGTAGCATTCTTATATCGGTTATTTTACATGTTTAGGTTTACGATGTGGAATCCATCCTGCAGATACTAAGACACTTCCATATCCGCATTGCACACAAACCAATCACAGGGGAGCCACATTGTTAACTACTAACTCAGTCAGTCAGCTTTTTTCACAAAAAACTAGTTAAGGTAATTTTTTGCCATCTTTTCTCCCTGAGAGTTAAGCAAGTTAGTAACTTTCATCAGATTTAGTCCACTGCTAGTAAGACAAAGTGTTTCTTTATACTGCAAACTGGTTAATTGACTGATGTACAAGTTCTCTTCGAAAAGCTCTAAAGCAACAAAATAAATCAAACGCAAAACTACCTGAAAAGTAAAGATAAAATTGGAAAAATATAGCAGAAATAGCCGAGAAAACGTTGAAAAATCAGTTTACATTATACGTGAATCTTGTCGTAGAATCTTAAATGGAAACCAGATAGAGAGGCTACCAGCTGAAGTCTTCAAAAACAACTCCGAGTTGGCCTTCTTGTAAGTAACCAGTAAACGTTTAATGTATTATTGGTTTGGTCTCGATTCAACCGCCATTTGCGTAGATTTATGTCATTTACTAACTTTGAGAGGAAAGGTTTTCTAGCCGAATGGTTTTTGTTATCTGACTGGAGGGCATTTCAAAAATGCCCAACTAAAATCCATGATATATCCTTTTTGTAGGAGCTTAGCAGGGAACCAGATAGAGAAGCTACCAGCGGGAGTCTTCAGTAACAACAACAAGTTGCTCAACTTGTGAGTAGGAAGACTAAAAGTTCATAGTATACCTACATATTTTTACTGTCATCCTCCAAATCCTCTTTAATTCTCAAATACTCAAATACTATTGTACGCTACGAATGAGTCCAGCCACAATCGTGTTGAGAGAGGGACCTTACCTTTCAGTTCATATTCTAGAGTACCATAATATATATATGTCAGCGACTGGAGAAGGTTCCATCACTTTAATATCCCTCGGCGACATGTACGAAACAAGTTAAGTGGCGATCTCTGTAAAAGCGGTTTAGGGCATTTCGCATCGGAAAAAAGTTTTCCCTCAAACTTTGCCCAATAAACTATATTTGGTAACAAGTAAATAAAACCACATTAGTTTCTGGAAAAACGTTAAAATAAAATTTTTAGAGCTCTCAAAAGTCAAAGCTGCAAAAGGCCCTTTTTTGACCTTGTGCGATATCGAAATTTTAAAAAGTTGAATAGCCCGGTCCTCGTATCACATCGCATGCAGCAAAAAATATTTTGTATTCTTAAAGTGTGTGATATATAAGGTATATAAAATGCATTTCAATTTTGATATTCGTTTATTCAGAGGCTCGTCATAATTTATTTAAATTTTTCTGAAATTGGTTAAAAGTACTCTTTCTTTCTTGGTTGATATTGCTCAAGTCCAGACCAGACCATTAAAAACTCCGCTTGATTTCTGCTAATAAGATTTTTGGCTGCAGAAAAATATAAAAACATCTAGCACTTATTAATTTTCTTCGCGGAGGTGACTTCGAACTTTTAGCGATATTGCTAGCGTGACAGCCGATTATGCAAATTAGTTCATTGAGCAAACTCCGACCGTTTTATGTGAGTAGCTCAATGAATCTTAGATTTTAACGATAGCAGGAAAGAGCTTTAAGACCACACCGATTAATACTTTAAGCATTTTAAAAGGCCAAAATTTGACAAATTTTATTATCTCGTGACGCAAGACGTCATCAACAACGTATCGAATATCATAATTTGATTAGCGCTCGCAAACTCTTTTTTAAAAATTTGGCTTCTATTATATTTGAGTTCTGATGGCTTACGCTATTGTCAAATTTTGGCCTCTTAAATATTCGGTTTCCCTAGAGGAGGTAAATATTCTAGGTTTACCTAGAGGACCTAGGTTATGTCTACCTTGATTCCATTGCGCATTATGAGTATTGAAACACGTTATGCGTTTTTATGTGATCGTATGACGCAGTTTTATTAAGAATTACAGATTTTTAGGCCGAAACAAGAAAAAAATGGGGCCTGGTAAATTATTTGCCGAATTGCTAAACCTGTGTCAGTGAAGAGTGGTTGTTTTACATTAACTATTCCGTGATCGTGTCGCAACGAACAATAATGTCGATAATAGTGTAAAATACAAACTGATTACTGTACAAGGACCCACCAACACGTAGTAATAGACATGTGTGCGGATTGTTTACATGTTCAAACTCTCCGAATATCGACGCTCGTACATCAGCGATATTGGTAGCCACCTCAAAACAAGTTCTATTGAAACCATACGAGCGCTTACAAATGGTGATGTCAGTAACTGTTCAACCTAAATCCAGGACATATCCCTATTTTAGGGACTTAGAAAACAACCAAATAGAGGAGTTACCACCTAAAGTCTTTCATAACAACTCGCAGTTGGTCATACTGTAAGTAACCAATCTTAATGCCTTTGTTTCTATTGGTGCTTGATGTGCTAAGAATTATTAAATACGTAACCCGTAATGTATGTAGCCAACCAAAACACTGCAATTTTCAAACAAAACCACCAAGTTAGGTTGTTGGTCTTAGCTTTTACGACTATATATTCTATTTTTCTGAGTTTATTTGTTTTATTTGCATATGGAAGATTTCCTGTATGGCCAGTGCTCGAAGTGGGCTGGAAGAACATATAACGCGATCGACTTGAAGTTTTCTCTATTAAATCTTAGCCTTGATGTGATGGCTTGAGACATTTTTAATACAAAAATGCCCAACTAAAATCCATGATGTATCCTTTTGTAGGAGCTTAGAAGGGAACCAGATAAAGGAGCTACCAGCGGGAGTTTTCAGTAACAACAACAAGTTGCTCAACTTGTGAGTAGGAAGACTGAAAGTTCATAGTCGACCTACATATTTTTACTGTCATATCCTTCTCCAAATTCTTGTTAATTCTAAAATACTCAATACTATTGTACGCTACTGATGAGTCCAGCCACGATCCTGTTGAGAGAGGAACCTTACCTTTTAGTTCATTTTGACTGAGGTTAACTTGCGGTGCCGTAAGAGATGGTTAACACATCCATTAATTCGCTAGATTGCAATTAAAAATATGTATTGATTTTTAAATCGACGTCTTCCTTGGAGTTGCCGTCCTAACTGCTAAAGGTCCCTATCATCCCTCGGCGACGTGAACGAAACAAATTAAGTCCAGCCACGATTCAACCGCCATTTGCGTAGAGTTATGAAATTTACTAACTTTGTGAGGAAAGGTTTTCTAACCGAATGGTTTTTGTTATCTGACTGGAGGGCATTTCAAAAATTCCCAACTAAAATCCATCATGTATCCTTTTTGTAGGAGCTTAAGAGGGAACCAGATAGAGGAGCTACCAGCGGGAGTCTTCAGTAACAACAACAAGTTGCTCAACTTGTGAGTAGGAAGACTAAAAGTTCATAGTTGACCTACGTATTTTTACTGTCATATCCTTCTCCAAATCCTTGTTAATTCTCAAATACTCAAATACTATTGTACGCTACTAATGAGTCCAGCCACAATCGTGTTGAGAGAGGAACCTTACCTCTTAGTTCATTTTCTAGAGTACCATAATATATATTTGTCAGCGACTGGAGAAGGTCCCACCACTTTAATAGAGACGATAAGCAAACCACGGCGGCGACGGCAACGGGGACATGGTAAAACAATAGCTCAGCACGTGCGTTTTAAGAAATTGACATTTCTTAGCCGTCCTATGCAAAACAACAACGTGAAATCACCACAATTTGCGTCGTCTGCGAGCCAAAACCGCCACGGCAAATTGTTTCTAATTCTATTTGGAACTCAACGCTTCTTTTATACGTTATGCTGAAGTTGAAGTGTGATGCCGCATGAGACGGTAAACACATGCAGCCATTTTTGAAATTCTAATTGAAGGTAGAAATTTGTTTTTTAATCGAAGTATTCCTTGGTGTTGCCGTCCTGACTGCGTAAGGTCTCTAATATCCCTCGGGGACGTGAACGAAACAAGTTAAATATTCGGTATACCCCTCTTGAGAGGAGCTAGGTTTACTACTAACTCAGTCGGTCAACTTTCCCCACGAAAAATAATTTTTTCGGCATCTTTTCTCCCTGAGAGTTAAGCAATAATAACTTTCATCAGATTTAGGCCGGTGCTATTCAGAGAAATCAGTTTTTTTAATACTGCAAACATGTTAACTGTCTGATGTATAATTTCTCTCCGGAAATTTCCAAAGTAACGAAATTAATCCAACGCAAAACTACCAGAAAAATGATGATAAAATGGCAGAAACAGCAACGAAAACGTTGAAAACGTTGTTTCTAAGTTCAGTCCTTGAGGACTGAGACTGGACCTTACTTATGTTGATATAAATCAATTTGTTCAATCACGTTCAAGATTATATTAAAAGCGTTTGTTTGACCCGGACACGGCACAAATAAACTGTATTCCGACCGGAAAAAGTACTCAACAGCAGCAACAGACAAGAGGAAGTATAATTTTAACTTAAGTCATGGAATATCTCTTCTTAGGTCCTTGGGTTATAACCAGATAAAGGAGCTACCACCTGGAGTCTTCAGTAATAACACTAAGTTGATCGAACTGTAAGTAACAAATATCCACGCCCATTCTATATTTTAACCTTCGATGTGCTAAGAGTGTGTAATGTGTAAGTGTTTACTTAATATAATCAAGACCCTCCTCAAGCTTAGTGATTTCAACGCCTATTTTTGATATTAACCTTCGATAGGATACGAGTGTAATGTCAGTGTTTACTTAATATGATCAAGACATTCCTCAAGCTGAGTGGGTGTAGTCAACCATGAAGAGAACCGAAAGGGAGTAGGACTGTTTGTATTTGGACAGTTTAATCAATGATTATTTCCTAGCATATGTCGGTGGTCCTCGTTTCGTAAATCCTATTTTATATTCCCTTACTAACGATGTTTTATCAGTTTGTATAAGCGTGGCCAGTATGTAGAGGGAGGTACTTTCACGAGTTTCCTCTCAAAAGAACAGGTCTCGCACTCTGCATTTATTTTTACACCAGTACTGCAACCGAACGTGAATAGGATTTATACATTTTCACGTATTGGTGATGCAAAGTTTCCAAAACGTACAGGTGGTTAAACGGCAACAAGTTGAAGAATTTGCCAGGCGACTTATTTTGCCAATTAGTCAAGCTGCGGTGGCTGTAAGTGAAAAGTCTTCCTTACATATAAACTATTTCAAGTGTCACAAGACTCCCTTTCAATTAATCGCTGATTAACATAATACTGATCGTATTTGGACAGAGAGAAAGAGCTTTTGCTCAAGTTTGAGCGGTCTTCTCAAAAGGACAGAACTCTGGCAAAAAAGTTTGAAGTTAATTCCCGTCGATAGACGTATTTTGCAATTTTTTAGGTCTTTCAAAAATTGAGACGTTTTACTACATTTTTGTTCTATCAAGGGACTTCACTTCTCTATTCGAATAATATTTATACTTTATGCACTACTCTTCACTCAGTCGCTTATCAG